ATATCCACAAACATGGGTGTCAGCTTCAACTCAGCCTCCCTTTCCCTTACCTCCTGAGTATTTCTTGACTGTGTCTCCTTTTCTTCATCCAAGGCATCTAATAATTGTTCCTTAATCTTGGGTTTACAATACAGCTATTTCCTATTAAAGAAGAGGGTGGCCATTGTATTCCCTTCCATTATTTCTAACGCGTAAGTTGTCATTCAACCTGTCTCTCAGCTGCCATGAAAAGTACAGGTTCTCAACGTTGTGGCCTGTTTCTTCTGTCTCATACCCATCTATCTGGAGAAGAGAGTGTGAACACTTTCATGATGATGATTTAGATCATAGTTTGATGTCCGTAACTCCCCCGCATGCTCTCTTTTGTGTGCTCATTTTATTTTTATATTGCTTAGTAAAATTGTCTTTTTCCAAAGATAATTTCTGTACATTCCAAACCCTGGCTATTGCGACATTTCTTTACTCTGTGGTACTGTAGGTTTGGTGTCCTTGGTATTCTGATCACCAGGATCCCAAATCTGTTTTCCTCCTGCGTACCAGTTCCTAGAGGACATAAAGACGTGAAAGTGTGTGCAGGATGCAGATGGGTCGATGAGGAGAGAATTCTTTCACTATATACATTTCTGTGTTATTTGGTTTTATTTTTTACAACTAGCTTTTGAATCTAGCATCTGGTTGAAAGGGAATGTAGAGAAATAAGTTTAGTTAAGATAGTAGAAATAGGTGAATTTCCCTTATTTAAATATCCTTTTCTAATAAAACTTTTAAAATATGTTATACAATCCTAGTAGGGACTTTCCTTAAAGTTCATGTTTTCTTTTCAATAAATTATTTCTGTTTCTATCCATATTGAACTGTCTTCAGCCATCAAGTTCACAGTTGGTCCAAATATATGAAATCTCTGGCTTTTTTTCTTTTTCCTAAATATTTGCTCTGGAATTGCTCCTCACTTTTTTTCTTTTTTTTTAAAGATTGGTCTTGAGCTAACATCTGTTGCCAATCTTTTTTTTTTCTTCTTCTTCTCCCAAAGCTCCCCAGTACACAGTTGTGTATTCTAGTTGTAGGTCCTTCTAGTTGTGATTCTCTGGCATTTTTATCATTTATATGCAAATTGTCAACTTCTTAAAAAGTTCTATGCCGCTGCCTAGCTGTTGCCCTGGAGTTTCCTATATCACCAGCTTGTAATCTGTCAATTATTTTACTTGGGAATTTCGAAGGTAGCTGCGTGAGATGAGTGTGAACTTTGGAGTGAGACAACTCAAGTGCTGGCTCCAGCACCTACCAGCTAGGATTCCTTGAACAAGTTTCTTAACTTCTTCAGTCCCCGTTCCTATACATTGGAGATGATCATAGTCACCTGACCGAGTTCTGAAAATTAAGTTAGATCCTGTCATAGATGTGAAGCATCTAGCTCTGTGCTTCAGGCACAGTAAGCAGTTTATAACTATTAGCTTCTTTCTTCCTCCCCACCCCTTTGATTAACTTGGTATAGAGTTTATTAACTCATTTTTACCTGATACAAAATTCTGATAGAGGTGCATGTATAAAGTTATTTTGGTAACATCCTGACACTCTCCTACTAGGGACTCATTGGCTACTCTTTCTGCCTACAGAATTAAACTTGTACTACTCATCCCTCTGTCTGGTTCCACTTACCTTTGCTCTGTATTTTCACAATACATCCCTTGGTGTGACCTCTGCTGTTAACTTGGGAGTTCTCAAACTTTAACGTGTTGTCTGTAGTGTATTAGTTATCTACTGCTCTCTAACAGATTATTCCAAAACTTAGCAACTTAAAACCATTTGTTATGGCAGTTTCTGGGCGTCGTATGTTTGACAATGACTTAGCTGGATGGTTCTCGCTCAGGCGCTCTCAAGAGGTTTTAGTTAAGAGCCACAGCTGCAGGCATCCAAAGATTTGATTGGGACTGGCAGATTTGCTTCCGGAAGGTCCCTCAGCAGGCTGTTGTTGAGAGGTTGCAGTTCCTCACAGGCTGTGGGCATGAGGCCTCAGTACTTTGCCATCTGGGCTTGTCCATCGACATGTGTAATGTCCTCACTACATGCAGGTGATTGATTTGTGAGAGCAAGGAGGGAGCCGCAGTGCATTTTATGGCCTAGTCAGTCTCTGAAGTCCCCCACCATCTCTTCTACCTTACTCTGTTACAAACAAGTCACTAAGTGCAGCCCACACTCAAAGGGAGGGACATTAAGTGCTACCTTTTGAGGGGAGGATTGTCAAGAAATTGATGAATGTATTTTAAAACTGCCTTACCTGGGGTTCTTGTTGAAGCACCAGCCCAATGGCATAGCAGTTAAGTTCATGCACTCCGTTTCCATGGCCCGGGGTTCGCAGATTCAGAGCACAGACCTACTCACTGTTTATCAAGCTGTGCTGTGGCAGGGGTCCCACATATGAAATAGAGGAAGATGGACACAGTTGTTAGCTCAGGGCCAGTCTTCCTCAGCAAAAAGAGGAGGATTGGCAGCGAATGTTAGCTCAGGGCTAATCTTCCTCACCAAAAAAAGGAAAGAAAAGAAAGATGCTCAAGACCCATTTCAGATCAAGTGATAGGTAGGGCCCAGGAACCTACAGTTTTGCACAAGCACCCTAATGATTCTGATGCAGGTGTCCTGAAGTCCACACTTGGAAACACACTGCTTTATGGATCACTTGGTCTTCCTTAAAGAGTTTTAATTAGTCACACCTCCATATCTTTGCAGAGCACACATAGCCTGTTTTCAACTGTAGATAGTGTTTTTTAGTCCTGGGTAAGTCTGATTACCTTCATGGTTCCTGTACCCTAGACTGAAGTGAGCTCTTGCTACCTTGAATTTCTACAATATTCTGTTTTTTCCTGCTCTTTAGCTCTAATTACTTTGTTTCAATGTTCCACTGCCAGTAAGAATTTTTAAAAAATGATTGCCTGCATCTGACCTGCTCTCCTGCCAGCCAAACTATGACAACAAGCATTCTGCTACTCAGGATTTAAAAGCAGAATGGTCATTAGAATGCCAAGGAAGCTGGCTTAAACCACACTTCTTGGTAGTTAGTACTTTCACGCAGGCATTTATCAAACAGATGAGTTCCTGTTGTATTCTAGGCTTGGTTTCAAGTATACAGCAGTGAAAGGAGACAGATGTGCTCCTTGTGGATGAAGAGGTAACAAGAAACAGGTACACAAAAATATGTCATCACAGCTTGACAGACATTCTAGGAAAGAAATGGACAAACTGCTATGATGTAAAACTAAGGAGACCTACTTAGATAAGGTTTTTAGAGAATCTGCCTGAGATTTGAAGGATCCAGAGGAGAAAAGACTCTTAAGGAGATAAAAAGCTTAGTATAATATTCTAATACCTGAGAGGAATTGGGGTGGTTGGAAGGGTAAGAGAGGCTGCCATGGCCATGGTCCGGGTTAATTTAGCAGTTGTAGAAATACCTGGGAGATTCAACTTATAGCTACAAATTCAACTATAACTGATTGGAAAACAGGATTTCTGTGTTGGCTTGACAGATGGAAGCTAAGAAAGAACTCAAGCCCGAATGGTTGTCAGAGTGGCTGTGTTCTCATCTCAGAACATAAAATGTGGAAATGACCACAACAGCAACAGGAGGTTTTTATGTTAGAGATAAAAGTATTCCTGCCTTTAGAGATGATCCAGTATTCTAGACAGGAAGGTTATTCATCTGATTCCATGTTTTTAAGCTCTGAGCTCCATTTGTAGATCAGATACGTCCTTGTCCATCTCTCCATGCTCTCACTTGTTAGCTGCTGATTCAGTTCCAGCTTAGACATGGTGGGTAAGGACAAGTGCAGTAAGAGCCCTGTGATTTCTCACCAACTTCCTTTCCACATAGCCAGCTGCTCCTCATCTCCCAAAGTTCTTCCCCACCCTTGCCTCCTGTAGGTTGAAGTATACTGGGTGTTGGGAGACCTAGTTCTGGCCAAATTGCTCGGGAAAGATAACAGGACCTTGAAAGATCTTTTCCTCTCTTTTTCTGGTTCCCACTTATTCACAACAGGCTTGGATAAGATGACCTCTAAAATTCTGTTATTTTCTCATGTTAGCCCAGGCCGTAATCCTATGACCCTCCTCTGAATTCACAGCATGTGTTCATACAACAACAATTTAATATTTCTCCTTACTCTTTGGGATGACTGGACAGTTCTGCTGGTCTTGACGGGGCAGTTTTTCTCACTGTCCCTTCAGTCTACTTGTGTGGTACCATTCAGCTTATGAGTTGGCAGGAGCTGCACTCAGTTGGAACAGTGGATCTCTCTCTCGATTTCTCCATATAGTCTTTCATCCTCAAGTTAATTGGCTTCTTCATATTATGGCAACATTGTTCCAAGAGAGCAAGCCCCAAGGCGCAAGCATTTTACCCAGTCTTTCCTTGCTTCAAATTTGATAATGTACCCTTGGCCAAAGCAAGTCACACAGCCAGTACAAAAGTGTGAACAGGACCAGTGAGAGGCAGGACGCAATACGGCCGTTAATGTAACAGTCTACCACAATCTCTGTGCTAAATTACCTACCTTCTCCAATGAAGATTTCCCAAAGTGGTTTTGTTCAAAATCTTCTCATAGAATTGCTTGGAATTACGAATCTAATACACTCATGATGTAGTTTGTTGGGACTATACAAGTTTTGATTTGCAGAGTTAGAACCCCTGGGTAGATAGTAAATCAGACCGAGTTTAATCACAAACTCTTCTTGCCTAAACCTCGTATGTGTTCAAGATAGCAAAATATGATTCTGATTGTGGTATCATCCTCCTCTGGGACCTCTGCTGTTTTGTAAGATAAAATTGAAGCAGGTAATATTAGGTTATAAAGCAACTTCATCGTTAACCTGGACTTCATGTTAGTCTAAGACGTGGACTACTAAACATTATCAGTCAGTCAGTTATCTAAGAGAAAATATAAATTTATATTGTAACAATGAAATATAATGTTTAATAACCTGTGTTGGGGGGTTGTGTGTTTGTTTTTTAGCTCTTCAGAGAAGTAAGAATAATGAAGATTTTAAATCATCCAAACATAGGTACTTTCTGCTTTCTTCAATCCTTTTGGGTCTAAATGCTTTTTTGAAAGTATGTCATAAAGCTAAACATATCTCCCAGGAGTGATAGGAGATTCCTTCCTTCCTCCCAGCCCAGATACACTTTTAATAAAATATGTATACAGACTGTTGATCGTACATATTAACCTTTTGAAATTACTAAAGACGGTTAAAAGCTGAAGTGTTAAACATTTGAATTTAAAGCTTTAATGTGGTAGAAACATCTGTAATCAGATTATAATTTTTTACCATATTAGGAAAACTTCATAATTATATTTAATTCATAGATAGAAGGGGATTATAGTAAGTCAGAGTTAAGATTTTCAAACTTATAACACTTTTTGCTGTGGCTGTGTTCCTAAGAAAATACTTGTGTGTTGAATCATATTTTGAAGGATATAGGATACTTAATATTTAATGGAATTTTTATATGAATTGTTTTCTACAGCACGGATTTGTTTTCTGTGTCCTCCATGTACACAGCTCTGTGCTGGGTGTGATGAAGGAGGTTTAAAGACACAAAGGGTCGTGGTCCTGCCCTCATCATAATTGTAGGAATAAAATGGAAATATGCAGTTTACTTAATACTGACCCTGTTATATATACAGCTCAATGAAAACTTTTGATCCCACATATATCAGAGCTCTTTTTAAATAATGTAACTGCCTTTTCACACAGTGATAGCTTCTACATTTTAAAGATATTATTCCTATGATGTACACCTGAAACTACTAGAATATTACATGTCAGTTATATATCAGTAAATAAATAAAAATATTATTTCAAGAATGAAATAGCTCTTAAGACTGCCAGTTATATATCAGCTTACTATCAAAATCAGTTCTGGGAAGTGGGAGGGGTGATGTTTGATGTTAAGGATATCCTATCATGAATTCTTGAGACACAAGAATAAAAAAATAAAATGGAAGCACAGGAGGGAAAAAACCTATACCTTGTTTCATCAAGTCTAAGCCACCATCATTTAAAAGGCGTTATTATTTTACACACTACTAAGAAAAAAAATACTACCAAAGCATCATCCTATTATCAGTGGTATTAGTTAAAATATGAAAAAATATACATCTTAGAATCAATGAAGTATGATATATTTGGAGAAAAGAAAAATAACATGAAGTACAGTAGTGGGAAGAAAACCTTTCATCACTCTTTATTTCAGTCCTTTGGGGTTAGCTAGCCAGCTCTGGATTTCAAATTCCAACTTTTCACTAAAACAGTACTTTATCACTACTTCCTAGAACTGGCTAACTTAAACATATGTATTTTGTTTTTTATTTACTTAAGTTCTACCACAATTAGAGTTCTTTACTTACTAGTAAATGACATATCTTTGATAATAGATTTAAATTTCTAAAAATTTAAATTTTTATTGGATTAAAATAGTTTTTCCAGAAGAGCCAATATTTGCATTGGAATTTTAGAAAGGTTTTATTTATATGTTGAGGCTTACCAGCATATATGTGTTAAATTTCTTTAAATGATTTTTCTTGACAGTCCAAGCATATCTTAGAAGTGATATGATAGTTGTATTCATCAGTTCAACAAACATATATTGAATACTATGTTAGGCACTTTATTTGGCCTAATAGTTTATATTAAAACATCAGAAAATAGCAAGAGAAATGTAAGAGACTAGCATCCCCCTCCCCTTGGTAAATTTAATTTTAAAGTATATGTTATCAAAGTACATATGCAAAATAGTGATTTGATAGCTTTAGAAATTTACTTCAGTTTCATTTAAAAATGTGTATGTTTCTGATTGATTTGTTATGTATATTTATGAATTAGCAGTAATAGAAATATTATTTCTGAGGCTGGCCTGGCAGCGCAGCAGTTAAGTTTGCACTTTCTGCTTTGGTGGCCCAGAGTTTGGGGGTTCAGATCCTGGGTGTGGACATAAGCACCACTTGTCAAAGCCATGCTATGGCAGCGTCCCATATAAAATAGAGGAAGATGGACACAGATGTTAGCTCAGGGCCAGTCTTCCTCAGCAAAAAGAGGAGGACTGGCAACAGATGTTAGCTCAGGGATAATCTTCCTCAGAAAAGAAAAGCAGTATTACTTCTATCTGTAAAAAGGGTTTGCTATAGCAAAGTCACACTGACTCATTGAAAATAAATCTATACAAAAGTTCTTTTCAGTTAATTATGGTGTAATCTGTTCTACTTTTTGCCATCTCTGGCTTCAGGATAGTGACAAAGGAACCTTATTCTCTGAGAACTGTAGTGAGTTTCCCAAGCAACAGAAATTTCAAGGGGAATTATATATATCCTTAAAGCCATAATGACAAGTGAATGGACTTGGACTTGTAGAAATAGAGAGATCTGAGCAGTTCCTGCAGGTTGAATGTGAAATAAGAACGCTTTTCCTGAAGGGCAGAGGATGAGCTGCTGGCAGGGCAACTAGCCAATATAAACATCATAAGACAATGACAGAGGAAAGGGGAATAAACACACTGCACCGTACTACTGAGTGCATGCTGAAGTTACGTAGTTTGAGCACCCAGAAATAATCTTTATTTTTATGGAATTCCATGCTTTCATAAAATCTTTTCTGTTCTTATTGTAATATGTAATAAAATTTCCTAAAAGCGTTTTTGTAGAGAGCCAAAAATGTAAATCTAAAATCTTTAACAGAGGGGCCGGCCCCTCTGACACCGCTCGTCAGGCCACGTTGAGGTGGCATCCCACATGCCACAACTAGAAGGACCCACAACTAAAATATACAACTATGTACCAGGGGGCTTTAGGGAGAGAAAGGAAAAATAAAAATAAAATCTTTAACAGAGGAAAAGTTACTTTTCGTAGTTAGAGTTTATATGTACATGGTATATGCATATAGACATTTGTTTCTTTTTCTCCTGTATCCTCTCTCCTCCCCCAGTGAAGTTATTCGAAGTCATTGAAACTGACAAAACACTCTACCTAATCATGGAGTATGCAAGTGGAGGTAAGAAATTTAAATATATTGTTTTTCTTTCTTTCTTCTCTTTTAGAAGAATACACAACCACACTGTCCATGTGGATAATTGTTAAGGTTTTGTTTCACATCCAGAGTCATAACACACTAGGATGAGAATCAGAAAAGCTGACTCTTAGCAGTTCTGTGGGTTGCTATGAAATGTTTTGCTATTAGCATCGTTGATTGATAGTATCCAAATACTTGTATTTTTTTAATTCTGGTAAAATATAACAAAATTTACCATTTTAATTGTACAGTTCTGTAGCATTAGGTACGTTCACATTATCGTGTAACCATTACCACCATCTATCTCTACAACTTTTTGTTTTTCCCAGATTGAAACTCTGCCCCCATTAAACAATAAGCCCTCATTCCTCCTCCCCCTAGCCCCTGGCAACCACCATTGTGCTTTCTGTCTCTATGAATTTGGCTACTCTAAGAACCCCACATAAGTGGAATCATACAGTATGTGTCCTTTTGTGACTGCCAGTTTAATGTGACTTAATGCCCTCAAGGTTCATCCATGTTGTAACATCAAAATTTCCTTCCTTTTTAAGGCTAAACAATATTATATATATATATATACACACACACACACCATATTTTGTTTATTCCAGGTACTTGGATTTTTAAACATATCAATGTATTAGCCTGTTTGAAATAAATGTGTACTGCGTGTAGGATGGTTTTCTTTATCAGATTTTAATGTTGTTGGTATCTGTCTTTCTCAAGGCCAGAAACGGTGATGACACTGCATATGATTAGATTTTCCTTAAAATAAAGATTAAGGAGTAGTAATTATTTGCTTACAAGATTATATAAATGTTGGACGTTTTTCTGAAATGAATGTGAGTAGCTATTATCTTTTATAAAGATTCTCATTTTAGGGATGAGGTTAGGCTAGGTTTGTAGGTTTTGGACCACATGTGAGTTTCATTGTCTGTGGAGGGCAGAAGCTTTCCTGCTTGTCTTTGTGTGTTCCCTAGCTCTAGCACAGTGCTTGGCACAGAGCATATACTCAACAAATAAGAGTGGAACTGAATTTATGAAATTATAAATTACTGGGGACATATTCTGTTTAACTCTACAGTATAGTTTAAATAGTTTTGATTACAGTGGAGTTGGGTTTTTTTATCCTTAGTACTTTGATCCAGGTTGTAAAACCTGGAGAGAGACAGTTGAATCACAGCCTCACTGTATGAGTTAACTATTAAATGAAAGATTGTAAGCCTGTTGTGGGCAAGAATGAGTTATAGTAGACACACCTCTAACACCACTTTTCTGTACTTCTAATCATTATTAGTTGTATGATTTATAGTTTAAATGTGTGGTTTGAAAATTTAGTTGGAATTTTCACAGCTGACAAACAGTAGGAAGAGCTGAAGGTTGATTGCAATACCAAAAATCTGTATGGAATTCTGATGCTTTTTAGTCATCTTGCAGAATAATGTTCATAACCTTTTCATTTGTGTAGCCTCTACAGTGCACAACCGCTTTCTTACCTGATCTCCTTTGACCTTTACAATGACTTCATGATGTGGCCAGCAGTGAGTGGTGGGCTTTTACCCTTGAGGAAATGGAGGCTGGAAAGTCTCACTGTAGTCACTCTGTCAGGTCTGGAGCCCCACCCATCTGACACCGTATAGCCTCTCCTGGTTAGTCAGTTGGTCGTGGCTTTCTGTTCCCATCTGATTTAGGTACCAGAGTCATAGAGATTGCTCTTATATAGGAGCAAGACAAAAAACGTCTGAGAAACATCCAGTTTTATTAGAAAGAGGATGGCTTTTGGAAAATTCAGAGGTGAAGTCAGTCTGGCCAGTGCCCCTCATTGGTAGCGTGACCTGATAAATTATATGTCTCTGAGCTTTTCAGTGGACTTGCTAACACAGCCCTCATTTGAGAACTCAGTGCCATTGCTCAGCATTGTAACAGCACTGATCAATGATGGTGGTGGTTTATTGGCTTGGGCTGTTTGTTTTAATCAGCTCAACAAAGCACTGTCAATCTCCAGGACATCTGTTTTATTGTTGATGCGTTTGCTATTTTGAACAACAAAAGTTTCGGTAAATTGACTACCTACTCCTCCCCGGCCTGGTATTTTTCAGTTTGGTAGAATCATAGAATTTTAGAATTGGAAAGAATCTTAGAAATCATCGAGGGCAACTGCCTAATTTTTACAGATGAAACTAAAGCTCTGAAAGGTTGTTCAGTGCCGGTGTTTCCATCGGTAGTTAGTGGCAGGATGTGAAGTAGGACTAAGGGCTTTCTGAACTGTCGTGTCCGGTGTCCTTCCGTCAGCCCGCACAGCCCCTGACCTGGGTGAGGAGAGCCACCGTTTGCTCTTTTTTCTCTAATAAATACCCCTCATAGATTTTCAGTTCAGCTGCTTAATCTGAGTGCTAATACATTTTTAATGAGGGAAAAAAAGAGAGATCTGGGGTGAATTCCTGATTTATAAGTTGAATTCCTGATTTATAACTTAGTAATTGTGAGTGTGACTTTATGGTTCCAAAATCTTTTAAGAGGTTTGTATTGCATTTGAATTGATAAAAAATATTTTAAAATTATATCGACAAACTTGGACTTTATCTGTGTTACTCTACAACAACTGTGGGTTTAATCCATTAATTTTTTCTTTTAGTCAAAAATGTTTTCTATATGATATGCACTTTAGTTGTTTCCACTTTCTGACCACTTGTTTTGACGTTATATACTATTCCACAAATAGGTTATTTGCTTAGAAAATGCTGACATTTTACTGAGTTGACATTTAACTTCATAATTCATCATAGTTGGATGAATTGTGTAGTGTAAATTAGCAATATGTAATGCCTTTTAAAAGATCATTGTGCAGTCAAGTGTAACTTGAAAATATGTATGCCCACCATTATTTAAAAATGTATTCAGAGTTAGAGCTAAAAGTGTAAAAGTCAGAAATATTAATGTACAATTCAGAATGACTTTTTCCTCAAAAATATTTAAATTATGTTCTCAAACTGAGCTTTTTTTAAGTATCAGAATATTTTAGTTGGATGTTGTCGCTAAGATGATGGAGGTGCTCCTTATTTGTATGAAATAGACGCAATTCTTTCCCAAATACTTGTTATATCTAATTTGCTAAATTAGTACTCTTTTCTGTTGATTTCAGAGGTGTTGCCTCCTTATTCCAAATTGATAAGCAATTGGCAATACTAATATATTTCCTGAAGTGTCACCTGTCTTCCCTGAGGAATTAAAACTACCATGTAGATGTCCGCCAGCACATTCTGTTGGCTTCACCTCACATTGAGTCCTGAATCACCCCTTTTCTCACCACCACTGCCACTTCGCACTCTAGGCCCAGCCACCCTCATTCTTGTCTTGATTATTGTATTACTGCCAATTGGTCTCCCTGTCCCTTTCCCCAATCCTGACCCTCTACTCCCACTAGCAGCCAGTGATCCTTTTAAGAGGTCATTTATTTCATATTCTCCACTTCTCTCAGAGCAAAGCCCGAGTCCTTACGAAAGCCTACAGGACTCTTCATGACCTCACCCCTCCTACCCATCTCTGTGCTTGACCTACCTCCCTTCCCCTGTTCATGCTTCAGCCACATGGGCCTCCTTGCTCTTTTCTCTGCCTAGAATCTTTCTCCCAGATGACTATATTGTCCACTCCCTCAAAGTAGTCGGCAAGGTGCTTACACACACAAACGCACTTCCTGTTCTTTTCCCCTGCTTTTTCTCCACAGTACTTCTTATCATCTGACCTACTGTATATGCATTTGTTTGTTGTTTTTTTTTTTTTTTGAGGAAGATTAGCCCTGAGCTAACTACTGCCAGTCCTCCTCTTTTTGCTGAGGAAGACTGGCCCTGAGCTAACATCCATGCCCATCTTCCTCTACTTTATAAGTGGGACGCCTACCACAGCATGGCGTGCCAATCAGTGCCATGTCTGCACCGGGGATCTGAACTGGCGAACCCCGGGCAGCTGAGAAGTGGAACCTGCAAACTTAACCGCTGCACCACTGGGCCAGCCCCGCATTTGTTTGTTTATTGTCTGTCTCCCCTACTAGAATGTAAACTCCATGAGGAAAGTGGCCTTGCTTTGTTCTCTGCTATATTTCCCCAGAGCCTAGAACAGTGCCTGGCAGTTAGTAGGCACTCAATAAATATTTGTTGAATGAATGAATATATTCAAGAAATGCTTTTTTGTCATAATCCTACAGTGAAGACCTCCTTTTTAACACAAATAACTTATCCATTTTAACTTTCAATTTTCGTTGCTAAGTTTTGATTAAAACATATTGTGAAAACATGGCCTTTAAAATAAAAGTTGTTATATTTTAAACATACGAGAATTTAATTTTAAGGCTTTTCTCTAGCTTAAAGATTTTGTCAGTGAACTTTTCCTGTAGTTAAACTTAAGCCTAGCTTAGTTCAAATTCCACTTTTTTCTGTTTGTGTTCATACTTATACTTAAAAATAAAAATTAGAGCATTTCGAAAAGTGAAACATCATCAGTTTATGGGAAGATTAATGCTCAGAAGTAGGACTTCTGCTTACTTTTATTTCTCTCAATTATAGGTGAAGTGTTTGACTATTTGGTTGCACATGGAAGAATGAAGGAAAAAGAAGCAAGAGCTAAATTTAGACAGGTATGAATTAATGCACCTTTAGTTTATTAATTTAATAAATTTATCTCCCTTAAACCTGGTCATAAGGCCTGTTAGATGGTGCAGGGGTTGGCCATTCAGTTCAACAAAAATTTATTAAGTACCTTTTATGCCTAAGGCACTGTACTAGAAGCAGCCATGGGTTCTATTCTTAGCTTTGTGATTGGGATTTTCGTCTCACGCTTAACCTTAGTTTTTGACAGTTAAGCCTTTAAAAATTAGAGCCTTTCAAAACACTTGTGATTGCATTATTTTCCGAGTTTTAGCAAGAAGAGTGTCACAATCCCAAAATTCATTATTAGTTTTGTCTTACATAAGCTGAAATCAAACAGAACTTAATCTGTTAATTAATGACTTACCTTCTTGCTTTATCTTTATCCTGCTCTTTATAGAAACACTCATTTTAATAAGCATGTTTTAAACGTAAAGGTGACTTAACTCTCCTGTCTTTATTAATAATAATTTCTATTTGTTGGTTGATCATTACCTGGCAGACATTGAGATAAGTGCTTTAACTATGTTAATGTAAATCCTGCAGCAGCCTTGTGAGTTAAAGAGTATAATGATGCCCATTTGCTAAAGATAAGGAAACTGAGGCACAGAGAGATTAAATAATTTGCCCAAAATTTTGATGCCTGGCAAGTAGGAGACCCACTGATTCAGACCCAGGTCCTCTGACCCCAAAACTCAAATTCTTAATCATTATGTTGTGCTATTATTTAGATTAGGAATCAGCAAACTCTTTCTGTAAAGTGCCAGATAGTAAAGATTGTAGTTTTTGTGGGCTGTACAGTCTTTGTCTCCACTATTTAAGTCTGCTCTTGTAGCATAGAAGGAGCTGTAGACAGTATGTAAGTGAACACACTCACATGATTGTGTTGCAACAAAACTTTTATTTACAAAAACAAGTGGTGGGCTGCATTTAGCTTACAGGGCATAATTTGCCCACCCCTAATTTAGATGAAGGGAAGGAGCAGGTGCTTTATTACTTTTAAATTAACTCTGTAATCCCATAGTTATAAGTTTCGTATTTAAACAGCAGTACAGCTTCATTCTTTCAGAACCTTTAAATTTTTGTTTTATTCACATATAACGTCAAGGTAGAGGTGTAGACAGACGTCTTTAAGGTTTCACAATATTTGGAAAGGCAATTTTAGCTGATTTTCAAGATTTCTCTTAACAGGTGCCTCCTTTGATTTGCTTAAGTCTAGTGTTTACAGTTAAGAACTCATTTATAAGTTTCTTAACTTTTGTTGTTGCTTTAACTTAAAAGCTTAAGAAATACTAATTGTACTTTGAATTAAAACTTATTAAATATCAAAGTTGAAACTTACTTGTGGCTATTATTTAACTTGTCTCATCAGTTTTTCTAGCTGTAACAAAGACGACGTTATACTTGAATTCTGAAGTTCTTTCCAGTTCTGATATCATTTTATTCTGTGGTCTATGGAAGGAAACACTAATTTAATTTCTCTTTATTACAAAACAAGTCTGTTTGGCCCTCTCCATAACTATACTCTTAGTTTTTATAAATTGGCCATCTAAAAGCCAAGATTTTTTTTGCCTCATAAAATTTAAATTTCTTCCCATTCAGGTGAATCTGTCTGACTTGCAAATATTTATGTAAATATGGTTTATTGACTTCGAGGAAAAGGCTGATGCTGGCCAGCAACAGGTGTCAGCCTGGACCCTCTCCAGAGAAGTCCTTTAGCACGCAAACCCGTAACTCCTCTCTCTGTCTCCACCCATCCCCCTGGTGGGATCCAACTTGTCAGAGGAACTTAGGCATTTACTAACCTAAATCTTTAGGAAATTACTCAGATTTTTATTTTAAATTCCCTGCAGAAATTCTGAAGCCTTTATTTGCGGAACCTATTAGTTGGTCCAGGAAAGATAGTTTATGTGCTTTTACAATTAATAACTTGATTTACAGTGCTTACAATTAACATAATCCTTTCTCCTTGCCATAGTATTTCCTCAAGGCAGTGTATTTAAAGCTGGAAGGATCGAGCATGATATTGGTGTTTCTGCTTTTCTCCATTTCTAATTGCCATGCTTTCCAAAATTTATATCATCATAACTTTGACTAAATAAAAAGGTTTCCTATTTCTGACAAAGAGGAAGATATGCCACACACAAAGTATGCTATGCCTGATCTGTTTTCCGTCAAAAATAGGCCCTTCTTTCCATATTCATCAGCAGATGGTTTTTCTTCTTCCCATTTCCTTCCCCATTTTCATCTAGTTACTGCTTATGTTGTTTTAATTTTTTGGCTTAGCTCTTGTTCTTTTCAAAGAAAGAGAATAGATTCATCGCTCTATCTTCTTTCCTCACATCTTTCTTGGTGGATTGGTATTGTTGCTGCCTCTCTTCTTTCGTGTTAGGCTTGCATTCATATTTTAATCTGGAAAACATCCAGGTTCTCAACCTTCTTTAGAAATAACTACTCCCAGCTTAAAAACAGAATACAAAACAATAATTTAAAGTTGAGTGTTTTCAGGTTATTGTAGCATTAGGTTAGCTTTGAGCTGTTTGGAGATAAAAGAAGAGAAATTCTTTGATCTCTTTGAGAAAGGCTTGGAAATTGTCAAATCTGATTCAAAAGCAGAATTTGAAAATAACCTATAAGAGAAATCTCAGTATGAGGGGAAAAAGAGGGGGGAAATTGGATAAAATTTACCTATGTTCTAGGCAATAAACCTACTACTTTGTTTTGGGAAAACAAAGCTGTTTCACTTCCCCAGTTTTCCTGTTGACAGAATAGAATAGCAGCATAAGCGATAATCCAAAGTAACAGGTGCTGGAAAACCGATACTTTGGCATTGGAATTTCTGTACCTTTCCAGTTGAGTATGAGTGAGTCTCATCCTGTGAATATTTAATTTATGAAACATGAAGCTTCTTAGTGAAGCCCTGATTTTGGCATCATCCCACCCTGACCCCAGCCCAGTTTCTCCTTGCTGCTTATTCTGAACCAAAATATCACCTGACCGAACAGCACTCTCTGAGTTATGTCCAGTGTAGGTGGGTGCACGTTGCTTACAATTAAAAGTTGATGATGATTTGGAGGAAAAAGCAGTATTTTCATTACCAAACCCCAGTTTTGTGTGTATGTAATTATATATGTTTAAATACACATTCATAATACCAAGGAAAAGACCAGAAGCAAAGGCACCAAAATAACTCGAGATGTTATCTCTCTTTGGTGGTAATACAGGCATATATACTTGTGTATACTTTTCTGTGTTTCCTAAAATTTCTATAATGAGCATATAAAAACTTTTATAATTAGAAAAGGAGACTTAAAAAATTACTAGTGAGTGTGAATTTCAGCAAAACAATTGTTTAATTAACATTGCTAATCACAGGAATAATCAAAAATTGACTAAAGAAAAGCATACCATTTGCTGAGAGTAGGAGGGATCCTTATTGATAGAGCGCATAATAGTTTTCGTAGTTAGTAGTTCACATACATTACAACATTCGTTCTTCCACTTTAAGGAAGAAGAAACTGGTCCTCAGAGAAGTGAAGTAACTTTTGCTGTCCTCGAACCCACATCAGCTGAAAGGAATAGAGTGTTGTAGGAAGCAAACTGACTGGAAAGAGAAGTAATTAACAAAGGAGAACTGACCTAGATGAACACCTGGCCATGGATAGCCTGTAACTGTCAGTTTGGTTTTGAGTTGATTTACACGGGCATGGAAAGGTTGTACCACAGCCATCTGATCCTGAGCCCCAGGGCAGCCAGTGTCCTCTAGTTCCTAGTGGTCTGTTGGGCCCTGGCACCACACTCAAAAATAACTGAAATGTCAGGGGTAGAGCCCGAGAAGAGTCTTTCCACTTAAAACTATAAAGAATAGGAAGAACATCCTCACCTCTCTCCTCTTGCCCTTACCCATGAATTTCTCCAAATTGAAAAGTTCAAAGCATAAGAAAATTACAGAGATTCACACATTGAAGTGCTCACTGAGTATTTTGCATGTGTAAACATTAGTGAAGTATTTTCATTCTAATTAATTATCAGTCTGCAGCAGTGATGACTATTAACCTTGTACCTCTCCTGTCCAGATAGTGTCTGCAGTCCAGTACTGCCACCAGAAGCGGATCGTTCACAGAGACCTCAAGGTGAGTCACAGTGTCTTTACTAGTGTATGCTCTGTTTGTATGTATTCAATTCTCCCAGTGGTCGTGACACAAATGAGGCATAGATTAGATTGTGTTATTAAATTAAAAAAAATCCTTTCATAATTGAATCCTTTTAATTCAGTTATAGTAAAGAGCATTAAACATAATGAAAAATGAGATTTATTAAAGTACTTTACATTTCAGTTTAAGGTAGCTTGTAGTTAGTTGGTCTCTGGAGAAAAATCATCATACCACTAAATAAAAGGAGCCTCCAAAAATGTGTATTCTCGCCTGACCGTGTACTCAAGGCTGCCTGGCACCCACCCTTCTCTGTCTCTAGTCAGCATTCTCTCCTGTTAACAGCAGTGGCTATTTGAGACCTACTTTCACAGTCCTCCACCTCTGCCTTCACTCTTGCCATAGGATAGTTTCCTATTTTACTGAGAAAATAGAAACACCAGGCAGAAACTCCCTCAATTTCCCAGGAGGCCCACAAACTTAGCTGCACCTACACCCATCCATCACCTCTCAGAACTTTCCTCTTGTTACAGGACAATGGGGGCGCCTCTGCCAACCTTGCCTCTGTGTCCTGGATCTTGTCTCCTGCCAGGGGCTGCTGCACTCTGTTCGTTGCCTCCTGTCTCCCATTTCTTCATCCACCCTCTCGCTACTAACTTTTCACCACCAGCATTTACAAAAACATACTCAAGTATATACCATCTTTTACGAGAAAACCTCTCCACATCACTTCCCCTTGCATACCCCTTTTTTCTCTCTTCACCTTCACAGCCATATTTCTCTACACATTGTCTAAATTCTGTCTTAACTTGGTCTTTACTTCCTCTATCTCCTCACATAATTGTCATGGACTTGCTTGTTCCTCTCTGCACCCACCTTTGCCACATTCACATCCAGTCTAATAGCTGCAGTGGCTACCAATGTGTTGATGACCCCTAAACCCATGCCTGCAGCCAGACCTCTCTTCTAGGATGCAGTATCCAGCTGGCAAAAGGACACCTTCACCTAAGCATTCCTCAGGCATCTCAGGTTCACCAAGTTCACAGCTTAAGCACTTCCCTCCTAAACTTGAATATTCATTTCTCATTCTGGTGATTGATGTCCCTCAGGTGCCTCTCTCTTCTCTGCTCTACCATCCACTCAGTCCTGGGGTCCTTTTGCTACTGTTTCCTAAATTGCTCTTAAATGTACTTTTTTCTTCCTCATTACCACTATCCTAGTCCAGACTACTAGCATCTTGTACTTGATTACTACACTAGTTTCTTACCTGGTCTTCCCTGCTTCCAATTTGCCTCTCTCTCCCATGTTTTCTGTATTGCAACCAGAATGGGCTTTTACAAACACAAATAAGATTGTCATTTCCCTGCTTGGATGACTCTTCAGTGGCTTTCCGTTCCATTAGGTTGAAAACCTGAGCTCCCTGACTGCAAGTCTCCCAGCTGGCCCTTTGTGATTCAGACATGGCCACATCCCCAGCCATCTCTCTCCCACAACTGTCTTTCAGTTTCTTGAGTGAAACATGTTCTCTCTTACCTTCCGGGTTTGCAGACTCTTTATTCTGTCTGAAATACTTTTCATCAATTCACCCACTACTGTCAGCTGAACTTTAGGCAGCAGCTTCGATTTCACCCCCTCCAGGAAATCATCCCGCACCTTTCAGTGCCGGACTCACGATTACCCACACCTCTTCTGTCACAGCACTTAGGTCAGAGAGTGTAGCTGCTTATTTTCCTGTCTCTCTCCTTCTAAACCGTGAACTCCTTGAGGATAGGACCCTGTCTGTCTTGTTCGTCATTATAATCCAGACACTAATATAACACCTGGTGTGTAATTGCCTCGTAGTAAATGTTTGTTGAAATAAATGAAAACAACTGTGATCTGTATCTTGAGTGAGGTTTACGATTTTCCCCTACCCAATAATAGCCATTATACAACTGTTTAGCAGTTTTTATGAGATGGGGCTGTCCACTTACAATAATTATCCGTTTTCTAAAAGCTCCTTAGTGTTCTCAATTGAAAGAGCTATTTAAAGGTTTTTTTGACCCTAGGCATTTGTTGTTTAAATTAGTGCTAGAATTACTCTATACCTTGTGTCTGTTATTAGTTGTTAATGTTTAAAAATTCGGAATTCTGATTTCTTGCCTGTTTTTTTCTCATTTTGCTTATTAGGATATAGTAACTTTATATCATTACAGGAAGCTTTTATGAAATACCTAATTCTATCACAATTCTAATTATATTTTGGTTAAATTTCTTTTTTTTCTTGATGTTTTCCCTCTAGGCTGAAAATCTATTGTTAGATGCTGATATGAACATTAAAATAGCTGACTTTGGTTTTAGCAATGAATTTACTGTTGGCAGTAAACTGGATACGTTTTGTGGCAGTCCTCCATATGCAGCCCCAGAGCTCTTCCAGGGCAAGAAATACGATGGGCCAGAAGTGGACGTTTGGAGCCTTGGTGTCATTCTTTACACTCTAGTCAGTGGGTCGCTCCCCTTTGATGGACAGAACCTAAAGGTATAAGAAGCATTTGCATTCATATTCTTCAAAAAACTAAAAGGATTTTATAAAATAATGAGTTAATATTTTATTGTTATGTCAGTATGCGGGTTTTCGATGGGTTTTTTGAGGTTCTTTTTTACCATAAATGTTGACTCACTAATTTTCTTTCCTGTCCTTACCTCCCCAAAGGAACTGAGAGAGAGAGTATTAAGAGGGAAATACAGAATCCCTTTCTACATGTCCACAGACTGTGAAAACCTTCTCAAACGTTTCCTGGTGCTAAATCCAATAAAGCGAGGCACTCTAGAGGTAATTTCATAAGTAGAAGTAAATAACAACTTTGAAGAATCTGTAAACTATTTTTAGAACTTTGCTTGATTTGTATGACATATTGAATACTATCCTGGGGCTTTCTAAGCAGGAACTGAGACATTTAAAACATTTTTTTAAGTTACCTTTGAATTATAATCAATGAAACGTTGAAAATACATTTTCCTAAGTATTGTGATTATCAGAATGTTTTATTTTATGCTGCTAATGAACAGTTCACCTTTCAGCAAATCATGAAGGACAGGTGGATCAATGCAGGGCATGAGGAAGATGAACTTAAACCATTTGTTGAACCAGAACTAGACATCTCAGACCAGAAAAGAATAGGTAATTACTCTGTGCCTGCATGCTCTTGTGTGTACAAGTAACATGTTTCTGTTTTCACTCATGCATATGCCTAAAATGGGAATAATGGGAAGTTGCACATGTTATATGAATCAGCTTATCTGTTTGTCATATTTAGGAACTTACCTAGAGTTTCCTGTAATAGCAGTCAGTAACTTAGAAATAAGCCAACCACACATTTATGTTAGAAAATGTATAATCTTTTGGGTCAGATAAAGGAAATTATTTTACCGTATAACACAGTGATTTCTTACCAAAACAAAAGACATAAGCTATATTATGCCCTTCTCTTTTAGATATTATGGTGGGAATGGGATATTCACAAGAAGAAATTCAAGAATCTCTTAGTAAAATGAAATATGATGAAATCACAGCTACGTATTTGTTGTTGGGGAGAAAGTCTTCAGAGGTAAGAATAATCAGAAAAAGCTAAAATATCCTTTATGTAAATTATCAGTTTATGTAAATTCTTTTCTTAGTTCTAATTTTTTTAATATGTATATTTTGGTATATTATTTTTTAATTTACCTGCAAATAACAAATTTAACTCCTATGACCATTATGAGCCGCTATTTTAACTCTAAGATAATAACCTTAATGGTGGATATTGTCACAGACTTTGCCTTCATAAGTTAACCTATAGTTGTTAATAGTTTAGAAATGTTGTCAGGTATCAGATGAAGTAGATACAGCCTTTTAAGTTATGTGAAAAAGCCTAGAAAGAAGATCATAAATAGCTATCCTTTTGTGAGTTTTTCCAGTGGTCAGAAAAATACTTTTGCCTGAGTTTAGGGTTGTTTTTTTTGTACATCTTGATTCTGCTCTCTAAATGAGCTGTTTATGAGCGGTTTGTATGTTATGAGAAGTTTAGTTTCCTAATAAACTATTTGGGTTCGTGTTGTGGTTTGCTCTGTTTTTCTCATTTTCTCTTAGCTGGATGCTAGTGATTCCAGTTCTAGCAGCAATCTTTCACTTGCTAAGGTTAGGCCAAGCAGTGACCTCAACAACAGTACTGGCCAGTCTCCTCACCACAAAGTACAGAGAAGTGTTTCTTCAAGCCAGAAGCAGAGGCGGTACAGTGACCATGGTAAGTTTCAGACCATTCCAGGGTGTTCTCTTAGAGTCTCCCCTTACTTAAAAAGCCTCCTAACATTGGGAAGCAAACTTTTGCTTAGGGCCTATGGAAGCCAGGGATTACCTTGACTTCCCTTCTTGGCATTTCTTTCATAGCAGCCCTACAGGTACTAGCATGATTATCTCAAGGCTCTGATCTCATTCCCTGGGCTTCTGCTGGGTAAGGCCTTGCTGGGGGGAAACCTTACCATTCTCCTGTCTGGGACCCCTGCTTCAGTCTTTAGTTCTCTGTTCACTCTCTTCCCCATCTCTGCATCAGATCTACTTTCTAGAGCAGCACGGTCTAGTATAACTTTCTGTGGTGATGAAAATGTTTTATATCTATACTGTCCAATAGAATAGCCACTAGCCACATGTGGATATGGAGCACTTGAACTGAGGAAATGATTTTCACTTGTGTTTAACTTAAAATTAAATTTGTATAGCCACATGTTGCCAGTGGCTACCATGTTGGACAACACAGCACTGGAGAATGTGTAGTACCCCACTTTTGCCTTAATTTGTTTAAATTTTTACCGGTGTCATTTTAAGCCACACTCTAGCTGTTGGACTGTCTAAACACCCTCACTCTTAAAATTTTCACCATAGAGGTGAATCTTTTATGAGACTTAGGGCCTTAAAGGTATGCTTACCAAACTTGACAGTTGTTCTACCTTCCCAGCCAGCCCCATGTGTGGGAATCCAGAGACTCTAGCATTTATATGTTTATTTGCCCATAACTATGAATGTTAACGTTGCAGGTATTTCCTTTAATTCTAGTATTCTAGGATTCAGAAACCAAATCTACGTTGACCTGGTCTTAAGTTTTAAAAATATATCCTTACATGGAACACCCATTTATCTCTTGTTCAGGTTATTTCCCTTCTCTGGACATTGTCCACCTCCATTCTTTCATCTTGAGATTTGGCACTTAGAACTGCACCGAGCATTCCAGGTGTGGACAGCTTTGGTTTTGTACCAAAAATGATGACACTTTTCTCGCTTTCCATTTCTCTTGCTGCTGATGCCACTTCTCTATGTGGTTTGAGCTGAAGCACATTGTACTGATATTGTCAGTAAACTGTCTACCTGTCTGCTATAACAGAGCTCAGAATCTGTTCTGACGCCAGAATTTGTGCTCATGGCATTTGTAAACCAAGTGTTGATCTGGGTCTCTGTCTCTTTTGTGTTCATGTTAGTTGCTAACAAGGAGGGGTTTTCAGTGCCTTGTGGACTGCAGGGCAATTAGCAAAGTGCCTACATATTGCTCTAAACTATCTAGTTTAATGGGAATTGTTCCTAAATCCTAGAAAAAAACTGGTAATAGAGTTTTCTCCTGTCTCTAGTGACTGTCTTAATAAGTTAATTCTTCCTTAAGCACGCAGATTCCATCTGGATTGGTAATGCCTTTTTCGCCAGCTCAGAAAATTTTAGAACTAAAAAGGGCTTTAGACATGATGTCATAGCCTCACCAAACCCCCGTTTTATCATTAAGGATAAGAGAGCTCACAAAGTCTCCCAAGGTTACATAGAAGTGGGAACACCTGGGACAGAACCCGGGCCTCGTGGTCTCTCCTGTGGCTCTGTCCACTAACCCGTCCATTACCTCTTGGAGTAGTCTTTTTATAATAATAGTCATCCTTCCTTCTTGGAGCCTCTAATATTAAAAAGCAGTTCATAAAAGCATTTTTCCAGAAATCCATGTATACAGAAAATCACTCACCCAATTCCTCATTCTCTTTTCTTCTTTATGCGGATGAAGATAGTGGTCAACAAAGGAAAGATCTGATTATACCTCTGGCGCTTTTGTTTTAAGTGCTATAAATGAGATAGGTTCTAAATACAGTGTCTAGTAAAGCATTTCTGCTTGATGCCAAGTGAAGGCAGACGAGCCTATAAGCAGATCAGCTTGTAGTTTGTCCTCCCACCTCCTCTCATGTCTCTCCTTGTTCCCTACCTCTAGATGCCAGTGATTTCTATATGTCTGCTTCTGTAAAATCACAACTTAATTTTTATCTGTTTCTTAATTTGGGTCTCATGTGTGAACCCCCTGTATGTGTGTACATGTTTTTCTAGGAGGGGTGGTTTCATCAGATTTTCAAAGAGTTCTTTGTCTTATATATATAAAAGGTAAAGAATCACTAGTTTATTAATCAGTAAATGGTACTGGGGCTGGCTGGTAGTTATCAGAAAAAAAGTAAATTTGCATCCATTTCTCTCGTCTTATACAAGGGGAGATTCCGATTGGAATGAAGATATAAATATAAAAAAATAAAGCTGCAGAAATATTAAAAGAAAACATGAGATATTTTGCTTTTAACTTGGACTAGTGAAGGTCTTTCTAACTATGGCCCCAAACACTAAAAGCCCTGAGAAAAAAGATTTGACAAATATGACTAGTACAGAAAAATCGCATTTCCATCTGGTACATCCACACCATGGAATGCTACTCACGCTAAAAAGAAACAAACTATTGATACATGCAACAATTTGGGAGGAATCTCAAGGGAATTATGCTGAGTGGAGGAAAAAAAAAAATCTCAAAAGGCTACATAAAGTTGATTCCATTCATATCACATTCTCCTTCTTCTTCTTCTTCTTCTTCTTCTTCTTCTTCTTCTTCTTCTTTTGAGGAATATTGGCCCTGAGCTAACATCTGTTGCCAGTCTTCCTCTTTTTCCTTGAGGAAGATTGTCGCTGAGCCAACATCCATGCCAATCTTCTGTTTTATGTGGGATGCCGCCACACTGTGGCTTGGTGAGCAGTGCTAGGTCCACGCCCGGGATCCAAACCTGCAAACCCCAGGCCACCGAAGCAGAGCGCGTGAACTTAACCACCACGCCACCAGGCCGGCCCCCATATAACATTCTTGAAATGACAGAATTACAGAGATGGAGAGCAGATTAGTGGTTGCCAGGTTTTAGGGAAAGGGGTTGGGGTGGAAAAGAGGTGGCTGTGGCTGTGGCTGTGAAAGGGTAACCCACAAGGTCCTTGAGATAGAACTGTTCTGTGTCTTGACTGGTGGTGGTCACATGAATCTGCACATGTGATTAAAGTGTGTGTAGAACTAAATACACAGAGGCACAAATGATTCAAGTAAAACTGGAGAAATCTGAATGAATAAGGTCAGTGGATTGTGTCCATGTCCGTTTCTATTCAGAATCTCAAATCTTAAAATTAAAGGATTTTGTATTTTCTAAATAGAAATAAAAGTTTCACAGTAAATCAATAATAACACTAAAAGTTCAGAATATCATTAGACATCTCATGATATTAAGAAGAAAAATAAGCATTAAGGGTAACATCATTCTATACTTGGTTCTTTGGTTTATATGTTAAAATTGCCAAACTTAAGAGCTTAATTCTTGTCCTCTCATAAATAAAATCAAACCCTTATTTACTTTTAACTCTGTTCCAAATAGTTTTGCCATTTAGATTTTTGTCTGAGAAGTAGCTTTTCTGCACCCCACCCTACCCTCTTTTAGACCTAAAATGTCAAGTCTCTTCTACTGTAGACTAAGTGATGAGCATTTGGTGCTGTTCCTTAAGATTACCACTGGACATCGTATATAATGAATATACTAGGTATCTTCTTTATTTCCAAAGTCCCTTAAAGTCTGAATCTCCTGTGCTACTATCGGAGTCTCCAGATGGTTTATTCCAGCACATCAGTTAATTGTTCACCCAAGATGTCCCTAAGTACACCCCTCTTGTGGTGTGACTGGAAACCTCTGCCCACTTCCTCTCTGTCACTTGCATGGGGAACATGCTTTCCTCTCTCTACTTGTATCACCTTTCCCTGTCTACTCAAATTCCTGTTTATCTAGAAGATTATGAGTGCTTTAAAAAAGATCCAAGATTGGGGCTGGCCCCATGGCTGAGGGGTAAGTTCGCGCGCTCCGCTGCAGGCGGCCCAGTGTTTCGTTGGTTGGAATCCTGGGCATGGACATGGCACTGCTCATCAGACCACGCTGAGGCAGCGTCCCACGTGCCACAACTAGAGGGACCCACAACGAAGAATATACAACTATGTACTGGGGGGCTTTGGGGAGAAAAAGGAAAAAATAAAATCTTTTTAAAAAAAAAAAAGATCCAAGATAAAACTTCAAAAGAAAGGCCCATAAATCTGTACTGTTCTGTCCCAAAAGGTGAAGGCATCTCTTGTACAAAGGATGTGATTCACTCAGATGTACCAGGTGAAGCAGTTCATTCTGCATGATGTGTGTGCATCAAGTTCGTTTGATGAGTTATCTGTACAGTAACACCCCCGAAGATGTTTCCAATGGACACCTGTCCCTGAAGGTGTTTCCAAAGGACAGCTGTACAATCTTATTAATAATAATAATAAAAACTTTAGAAAGTTAAGAAGTAATAAGTGGAATTGCAAAATTGAATTCATTGCATAGGGAAAACATTGTACATGAATGGGAAACATCTTAGAGGATTTTACTGTCTTATATTTTCTTAGATGAATAGCAATCTTAGGTCATCTTACAAAATATATTTATTTCCACAGAATAAAATGTGAAACTGTATTCTCACTTTTAAAAAGCGAACTCTTTATTTTAGCTGGACCAGCTATTCCTTCAGTTGTGGCGTATCCGAAAAGGAGTCAGACCAGCACTGCGGATAGTGACCTCAAAGAAGATGGAATTCCCTCCCGGAAATCAAGCAGTAGTGCTGTTGGAGGAAAGGGAATTGCTCCAGCCAGTCCCATGCTTGGAAATGCCAGTAATCCCAATAAGGCAGATATTCCTGAACGCAAGAAAAGCTCCACTGTCCCTAGTGTAAGTATTGTTGCACTGTAGAGCTTTTCTAGGATTGTAGGGTTGAAATGATACAGACATTTTGCGCCAGTGTTCTCGTCTGCCTGGAATGCCCTCCCCACTAGGCCACCATGCCCAATCTCAACCTGTAGAGATCACTTGCTGCCTCGAAGGGATTTCTTGTTGAGCCCTATCCTACTAGAGGAGTGGTCAGATCCTTTATGTCAAGGGCTGTTCCTAGTTATTCTACAAACATCTACCGAGCTTTAGGTTGTGTCAGGCACTGAGAGATGCAAAGACCTCATAGTCTAACAGAGGAAATAAATAAAACCAAATGATGACAGTGCAGACAGGCGACTGCAGACAGAAGCCTGATGGAATCTGTACAGGGCACTGGGAGGTCTGCCTGCCTGTGAGCCAGGGATGTGGTGTTTGCATTGTATCTTCAAAGGGCTCTAACGATAAAAAACGTTGACTGAATCCTTAGGATGTGCCAGGGATCGTGCCAAGTGCTTTTCCATGTATTAGCTAAATTTTAAGGTGAAGAAAAGTTAGGTAACTGCCTAAAATTACAGTGCTAACCTGAATCCATCTCTTGATCCCTACCCTTAACAAAATCTTCCTAGTTAAGTAGGTAGTACTTGTTAAATTAAATTGAGTCTATTGAGTTTCAGAAACTTTTCCATGAATCGAAATGTATTTTGTCTGACCTAACATAGTAATTATTATTCTTAGCACTCCTAAAGTAATTTTAGAAAGAAATTGCAGAGAATGAGCAATCTTAAAGATATTCTGTAACCACGTTTTTCCCTACAAAGTTAACAATGACACAGCCCTCCCTCCGCTCCAGAAAAACCCTAGAGTGAGCCACCCATGTGGAAGTTCTGCTGCTCCCTGTGGGAGTTTTGCATTTGTGCCATTCTGGGGATAGGGTTTCATAAAGGAGCCCAAAGAGTTTTGTCTGCTCCATCCTCTGACCTTGTGCTTTATCAGAGTAAACCCTGTGTGAAAGGGTTTTTATTTTGGCTTCCTATTGCCATCAAATTGGATTGTCATACCATAGCCCTGCAATTTAAATTCAGCCTCCAACATTTGTTGACAGTTAGCAGAGGAAGGTGAGGACCTTCCTGCCTTCTCTGTTCTGTGCCTTCATAACTTTCATCCCTATCGCCCTACTCATCTGCACACTGATCTTTTGAAAGTATATCCTGAGCATTATCAGTCACCCATATTTGATTATTTATGAAGGAAAAAAGAAAGATTACTATAATTTTCTCCTGTTAGTCTTCAGGGTTTACCTGTACATGGTCCCCTCATGCTGTGCTTAAAATTGTTCTTATCTGATAAAATTCCTTAGTTGTGACTTGTTCCTTGCTTTTTAATTTTGAAAGTATTAACTTTTTAAAGCTTGATGTGAAATTCACGTGACATATGGTTAACCATTTTGAAGCATACTGTTCAGTGGCATCTAGTACCTTCCCAGTGTTGTGCAACCACCACCTCTCTCTGGTTCCAAAACTTTTTCAACACCCCAGAACACCACCCTGTACCCATTAAGTAATCACTCTCCAGTCCCTCTTCTCCCATCACCTGGCAACTACTAATCTGCTTTCTCTCTTGTTGGATTTGCCTATTCTGGATATTTCATATAAATGGACTCATACAATATGCAGCCTTTTGTGACTGACTTCTTTGACTCAGCATAATATTTTCAAGGTTCATCTGAGTTGTAGTATGTATCAGTGTTTCATGCCTTTTTGTCTGCCATAGTTTATCTGTCTATTGATGGACATTTAGGTTGTTTCTACCTTTTGGTTATTATGTGTAATGTTGCTATAAACATTTGTGTACAAATTTCTATGTGGGCTTATGTTTTCATTTCTCTTGGATATATATCTAGGAATGAAATTGCTGGGTCATATGGTAATTCTATGGTTAACTTCTTAAGGCACTGCCATACTGTTTTCCACAGCAACTGCACCATTTTACATTCCTACCAGATATGAGAGTTCTTGTATTCCACATCCTTGTCAACCACTTGTTATTTTCTGCTTTTTTATTACAACTGTCCTAGTGGGTGTGATATAGCACTTCATTGTGATTTTGATTTGCATTTCTTTAATGACCGGTGCTGGTCAGCATATTTCCATGTGCTTGTTGGCCATTTGTATGCCTTCTTTGGAGAAATGTCTATTCAGATCCTTTGCCCATTTTTAAATTGGGCTGTTTGTCATTTTTTGGTTGAGTTATAAGAGTTCTTTACGTATTCTGGATATTAAACCTTTACCAAATATATGATTTGCAAATATTTTCTCCTATTTTGTAGGTTCTCTTTTCACATTCTTAATAATGTCATTTGATGCCCAAAAGTTTCTAATTTTGATAAAGTCCAATTTAACTGTTTTTTTCCTCTTGGTACTCATACTTTTGGGTGTGTCATATCTATGAATCTCTTGTCAAATCCAAGGTCTTGCAGATTTACCCCTATATTTCTTCCTAATAGTTTTATTGTTTTATATTTATATCTTTATTTTTATTACTTTTTACTTTATTTGTGTATTTACCTTATATTTATAATCCTTTATAATTTTTTATTTTGAAAGTATTAGCTTTTAGGGCTGGTCCTGTGGTGCAGCAGTTAAGTTCACATGTTCCACTTTGGCGGCCTGGGGTTTACCGGTTCGAATCCCAGGTGCAGACATGGCACCGCTTGGCAAAGCCATTCTGTGGTAGGCATCCCACGTATAAAGTAGAGGAAGATGGGCACAGATGTTAGCTCAGGGCCAGTCTTCCTCAGCAAAAAGAGGAGGATTGGCAGCAGATGTTAGCTCAGGGCTAATTTTCCTTCAAAAAAAAAAAAAAGTATTAGCTTTTAAAAATGTGGATCTCTCTATCTTCCTACTTTGTGTTCATCAGTAAATCCATGAGTTATCACTTTATGGATTATTACAGCCAGCTTTTCAGAATTCCTCTGCCACAACCATTTTTCATTCTTTCTGCCAAGAGAGAGGGCAGAGACTGCTGCCTCCACCCCCTTTTCTGATCTTTTGGCCAGTACTGTTGATATTTTAGTGTAGGTTTATCTGAAAACTGTTTGTTTATTTAGATGAAGGGTTTTTTTCCCCTCATTACATTATACTTAGTTTGACAAAAATGCCTTCTTCTTTTAATAGAGTAATACAACATCTGGCGGAATGACACGGCGAAATACTTACGTTTGCAGTGAAAGAACCACAGCTGATAGACATTCAGTAATTCAGAATGGCAAAGAAAACAGGTATGAAATTTCTCCTGGTTGCAAGAAAATTTGTTTGTCCCAAGAGAAATGGAGGCATGTTAGTTACTTCTCAGTTTTTATAATAATAATTCAAATAGTGATGGTAAGTATTCCCCAACGGTAAGTTAAATTTGAATGCAAATTTTTAACGAGATACTAGAATTCCAAATTTCTCTCATTGTCCAGAACTTGTCCTCCTGGCTAGCTGTGTATGATGATTGAAAAGGTTGAGTTAAACCAGGGAGCTTTCCCAGAGGAGATAGATAGTAAGCTATAGTTTACATGTAGAATAGTGAATAGGGAAGTGGAGATTATTTTGGGCATATTAGTAACTTGAACAAAGGCTGAAAGGGGTGTGGGTAAGGACCTGAAGCAGGGAGCCAGGTCTCTGGAGGATATAGAACACGAGGTAAGGTGGACGAGCCTTCAGTTACAGGTCAGCAGTTTGCCAGAGGGGCCAGGTGGACAAAGTAGTAACATAGGCTCCACCTTAAAAGAGATACAGTTGAGAATCCCAAAGAAATAGAGAGTGCAATCTTCTGAATGATTGTAATCTGGTGAAGAGTCAAGCATACATAGGATAAATGTGATTTAAAATGCTAACAAAGTATTATGTCAGTAAGGAGTGAGCCATATGCAAACAACTTTTGGGGTTACAAAATAAGAGAGAGTTAGAGTCAGAAAATCGCAATTAAGTAGATCTAGAGACCATGGGGTAGAGTTAGTTTGGGGGGAGAGAAAAAAGAAAAGTTGGATTGGTAGAGTAATTAAATATATTCTATATAAAACAAATTTCCCAGGCTAACATGGATTTTCCTTCTTTCCTTTTGAAAGAATAGTATATAAACTAAATTCATAGTGGTGAGATATAGTCAAAGTGAGCAGATAAGGTTCTAGAGTAGAAATCATAAAGTAAATTCACATCATCTTTCATTGTCCCTTGACCTCTTGACTTGAACATTGTTTGATCATGTCACATTCCCATGTCTAGCATGAAAATTGTTTCTTTTTTTCTGACATTTACTTTCTGAAGTTGCATTGTAAGTTTTCTTTTTCCTTTAGACTTCATTAGTCACATGACACGTTTGATCATTAATTGCTATGACAGCCTAAGCAAAGATTCATCTTTCCCCTTCCTCCTTTAAAACCAGACTCTTTATCATTTCCCTTTTCCACAGATCACTTAAGTTTGAATTGATATGAAGGTAAAAGCTTGTTATGTAAGATAGTGTTGATTTTTCAGTGAATTTTTTGAAATATTTACATTCCGGTGTTCTCTTTTCTGATTCCTGTGTGTGTATTGTTTTAACATTGTCTTTTTCCTTATGATAAAAAACTATTAATAACTTGAGTATAGCAACTGGGCTAGATAGCTTACAAGTAGTGATTGATATATTTATTCCTTAGTAGTAATCTATTCTCTGGTAAACTTTCTTTCGTTGCAGTTACATTCTCAAACCTATCAAATTGCTTGTAGTTCAGAGTGATTTAATAGAAGACGTCAATAGAAGACTTAATTAGAAGTTTCTAATATGTTAGGGGTTTTAGTCGATAGAACTAGAAAGATGTAGTCTCATGACCCTTCTTCTTTTTACAAATTCTTCTAATTGTTGCACTGTCAGATTCCTTTTGAACTTAGAATGCACATTCTCTGAGGTACAGATTCAGACTCTTTAGGAGTTTGTTAAGACCAACCTCCCCCGCTTTGTGTCTGTATGTGTGCATGACATGCTCTTCTAATTCTCCTTCCCTACAATTATTCAGTTCACTCTTTGGAAATAGTTTTAAGAATTCTCTAACTTCTTTGGAGTCATTACCTGTCTGTGTTCTACGTGCCAACACCTTCCTCGTGAGGGCTGACTCCTCCTTATCCTGACCTGTTTGCCTCTGTTAGCATCAGTCATTTAAATGCTTTGCTTTTGAAAGTGTTGTCCGTATCTCATATCAAATAGAGCCTCAGGGGCAAACCACAGAAGACTGGGGCCTAAAATTTTAGTAATATCTCTTTTCTTTTTCTTTCTATCTTACAATTGAATTGAAAAACTGGAAAATTACTGGAGATTTGAGTGCCAAGCTAATGGTCATATTTTTTACTTTCAGTTAAGGCACCAAATGTGACAACTTTCTCATCCTTAAAATAGATGCTTGAGTCATAAATTAGATACTCAGATGACTTCTTAGGCAGATCGTTGCTTTTTCTTCTACATACGTATTTTATTCCTTGACTAAAATACTAGTGAGCTACAGGATGCCTGGATCTATGTTAACTTCTGAAAGAAGGACATTAATTTCCACTTTTAGCCTTGAATATGTTGAACTTTTTTCTTATATATGTGAGTATTTATGCAGAATTCCAACATAAGGATGATCACGACTAATAAAACCTGTATGAAAGTTTAAACCAAAGCCTGCATGTCTTAAAAACCCTTCTTCAGCTGTCTTCAAGTCCTACTTTGAACATGGGGTGATGTTTTAAAAGCCTCAGCAAGTGTATTCTCTTTATTGCCACAGGCAATATAATTGATTTTTAATAAATAGTTTTTTCATTTTAAAATTAATTTTATTGATTCTTACTACTGTAATCTTTCTGCTTTATCAGCTTCACTGTGTGAAAAATAAAACTAATCATTGGTGTCTGGGGCTGGCAGAGGTGTAGGTTTTGGCAAATTGTCTCTTTGGCAGGGGCACACATGACTAGTTTTCTAAGTAAGACTGTTTTGAAACCAGACCTGCTAAAATCCATTGTACTTTCTGCTGTAATCCTCCTGATTTAATTATTCGACCTTCTTCTGATGTCAGTCTCTGAAAATGGCCCAGTTCCAACATTGACTAACAGTCAGTATAAACTACACGGGAGAAGGTGTAATTATATCTTCAGTTGTATGATTCTGTCAAAATCACGTAGATTTATAATGAGTCTTAAACCACTTAGCACAGACACTGACACATAGTGCTCAACAAATACTGGCTTTCATTATTATAATAAACAGCTCTGATATGAATGTGAAGAATTTTCTCTTTTTTTCCTTTTTTTTTTTTTTTTTTTGGTGAGGAAGATTCACCCTAAGCTGACATCTGTTGCAAATCTTCCTCTTTTTTTTTTGGCTTGAGGAGGATTAGCCCTGAGCTAACATCTATGCCAGTCTTCCTTTATTTTGTATGTGGATCACTGCCTCAGCATGGCTGGTGAGTGGGTAGGTCCACACACAGGATCTGAACCCATGAACACAGGCCACCGTAGTAGAGTGCACCAAACTTAACCACTATGCCACCAGGCCAGCCCTGTGAAGAATATTCTTAGTTTACACTGACTATACCTAATCTCTCAACTTAGTAATGTTGCTAACCAAGCCATATAACATAGACACTCTGTCCTCTTTCATATGCTTTTAGATATCTGTGGGAGACTATTGAAAATGTGTTCATTTGAGGAACCCCAAAGAAGCAGGGTGATGTTGTTATAATAAAGCACAACAATCTTTCCAAAGAAGTTTTAGGTATTTGATATCATACGTAAAATTTTAAAATTATAAAGTGGCTCTATTATTTTATCCATTTATCCACTTGTCCTGCATCAAGACACAGGGATTGAGCAGAGAAGGTTTGATCATAGTTAACACATGTATCTTTTGGAGTGTATTTTTAATTCTGCTTTTGCCCAATCAATGAGCATGTTTTGAATCAGCAACCAAAACATTTCATGTCAGAATGTTCTGATACAGGATAGGTATCATATCAAACAAATTGAAAATACCTGTCCTTTAGTAACCATAAGTGAATTAAGAGTTTTTAAAAAAAAAAGAGGGCTGGCCCTGTCGCTGAGTGGTTAAGTTCGCGCACTCTGCTTCGGTGGCCCAGGGTTCACCAGTTCGGATCCTAGGCGCAAACATGGCACGGCTCATCAAGCCATGCTGAGGCGGCATCCCACATGCCACAACTACAAGGACCCACAACTTAAAAAATATATACACCTATGTACCAGGGGCGCTTTGGGGAGAAAAAGGAAAAATAAAATCATAAAAAAAAAAAAAAAAAAGATGATCAGACATAAATATCAAGCAGTTAGGAAGATTAATATGAACTCATGCAACATGAATTTTAAGAAACTCATTATTTCTGTAAGTTTAGGTTTAAAAATGGTTCTTCCTTGGACCCAGAACTACTGAAAATGTAATGCAGCTTATTTAGCTTGTTGTGGGCTAGTCTCTGAAGTAGTATCATTATCTTTAACACTTTTCTGGAGGGAAAATTTTGTCCAGCTTTCACAAGAAACAACTTGATGAACTTCCAAAATATGCGACCAGTTGTGATGTTGGGATTGTCTATTATAAACAAAATTTTTGTGAGTTTGATTGTACAAACATGAAATTCAGTAGTTACTGAGTTTACTGTTTCCTTAATCAATGTGCTAGGCCTCCTGTAGAAATCAAAAAAACACATTTGTTTTCTTGCTTTCTTTGTGTAATTCTTGATATGACATGGATTAAATTTCTAAAGAAATAATTCACTTAATTGCCTTTAAGCTTAGTACGTCAAAAAAATTAATAATTTGTATTGAAAATATCAATTTACACTTCCTTTCTAGAATGGTCTCCAACTTGAAGGAGGGTCACTTTTTTGCTCCAAAGCCTCTGTCCAAACAGTCTTGCCATGCTTGTCTACCTTGTAGATGTTGCCTATACTGTCCCACCAGTGAGCATTGTGCTTTGCGGGGAATAGGTGGAACGTCTCCTTGCTTGGTATGCTGACTAAAAGCCTTTCCTTCTCCAGAGTCTTTGGAACCATATATTCTCCAGGGAAAAAGCCAAACACCCCAACCTCCCCTTCTTCTCTCCTTTTCTTAATGCATCCATTGATTCCAGCTCCTCATTTGAGCAAGAGGAATGTCAGCAGCTGGGCAGGGGTTAAAGTGTGTTGACCCTTGACCTGTCCTGAACAGATAATAGAGCACAAAAGACAGTTGTATTTGTCTATAACTTGTTAATAAAGTAAAATAATATAGTATATGTATATGTATGTCTGTATGTATGTATTGGGAACAACCAGGCATTTCTTCAGATAGTTGAATCAGTTAGGACTCTGTGTGTTGCAGGTGACAGAAAGCTGGTCCAAACAAGCTTAAATTTAAAAAGTTATCTCTTGAGTTCCGATATAGTCCAGAAATAGAGTCAGGTCCGTCTAATAGTTCTGCTTCCTCTGTAGTAGTTCCCTGGTTGGGCTCGGCAGCATCAGACTTAACTTCTTCCCACACTCAGCTCTGCTCAAACAGAAGCCCTGGGCTTGTCTCCTTGGTCTGTGTTGGTCTGGCTCTGGCCATGTGCCTGGCTCTAAACATGTCATTAGCCGGGATAGCTGCGAAGGTCTGGGGTGGAATCAGCAACGTCTAGAGCCCAGGAACCTGCTTCCCCCAAGTATTGTTGCCACAGGAAAAGAGTGGGTGCTAAGTGGCAAAAACACAAAAGTGAATCTATTTTTATCTTTATGAGACATTTGTTTCCAGTTCTGTGACTATATTAGAGCCACTCTCCCAAATCAGGGCAGAATTCCCAAACAAAAATGCGGGGACAAGCAGATCTTCTTGAGCAATGTATTATAAAGACCCAGCTCCCTCATTTTAGGACTACCAGAATTCTAGTGACTCATTTCATTAACTTACGTTTTCAGTTAGGAGAGCATTTATTGAGCACCTGCTCTGTCTGAAGACTTTCTGCTGACACTGAGGACACGCTGATGAGACTGTGGGCCATGTTTTCAGGGCGCTTAAGCAGGGCAGGGTCACCATGATACAGTGTGGTGTGCCACAGCAGGTGCATGCACTAAATACACGGGAGGAAACGATGAACTCCTGATGTGTGAGGGTGTCAGGGAAGAATTCCTGGACAGGATAACCTCTGGGTTGAATTTTGATGAAAACAGGAAGATGCCAGCTCTCCAGGCACAGAGGATAGTTCCTGAAAAAGTTTTTGACCTGATGCATGACCCAGGGACCTCACATCGTCAGGAGAGCCAGAAGGTTGAGTTTTGTGAGATAACAATAGAAGGTAAAGCTTGGAGAGCTGGCAGGGGCCAGGCTGTGAGTGCCTGAGGATGTGACTTGGATGCCACAGTGAGAAGTTTAAACTTGTTCCTGAAGTTGCAGTGTGCTTTTGTATAAGCAGATGAGTGACAAGGTCAGGTTTGTGTTTTAGGAGTTCACAGCTTTATGGTACACAGATTGGAAGGTATGCCCGTGAAGGCCAGGACACCAGTGAAGACAGATGCTGAGTAATGGGCCTGTGAGAGAGCTGAGGCTCTACACTAAGACCCTGGGAGTAGAAGTGGAGGGTAGGAAGTTGACACCAACCAGGTGTCACAGTGGCTCTGGATATGGGCATGAGGCGGAAAAACCTGATGGTTTCTAGATTTCAGGCTTTAAAAGGATTTCTGCAGAAAGAAAGACAGTGAAAGAGTATGATCAGAATTCTAAATCCTTGATTATCCTTAAAGGAAAGAAACTGCCCCTTTGGAATTCCAAGGACACAGTGACTGAGCTGGAATTAAGGAGTAGCCTGGTCATAGTGAGACTCATGTAGGTAGTTTTGTCCCGTAGCTATGTTTGCCAGGTGAAACTGCAGACTTCCAGCCGTTTCTCTTGCTGTTTCTCTGTCTGTATACAGTTAATTTGCTCTTATAGTTTTCCCACCTGAAAAAGGGGACTCTGTTGACCCCTTAGGAATTTTGACTACTGTGTATAAAGAAGTCAATGTCCTTTGAGTAGGAGGATTTTCAGCTATATTTAAACAACACATAGGATACTTTGATAACAGCCAGTCACTATATGCATAATTTGACTAGTCCATTTAAAATATTTCAGTGTGCTTTGGGAACAGGTTAAGAGCACAGTGTGCTTATGTTATCGATTGACTTTACCACTTTGATATGAATGGCGACATCTTTTTTAGCATAAGCTTTATACCTAGCTCGGAAGACATTGTCCCTCTTGCATAAATAATCAAACATGTAAAATGTTATTTTCTTTAAAGCTAATAAACTTTTTAAATTACTGTTTGAAAAATAGATACAGGTTAGCAGCTGCTCCAGAATCCCCAAAACAAGTTTAAGAGATTTTTATTCTTTGACAAAAATGAGATGGTTTGGGGAGGAAGGTATGTGCTTTAAACAACAGGTTGCTCTTATTGTCACTGGTCCATCATACTGTTGTTTCTGCCTTTGCCTGAACCCAAACCCCCTCCCAGCCTGACAGAAATGTTCGCTTACGCAGCTAGCCCTGCCTCAGTTTGTACCACATCTTCCACCTGTCGGCTGAGACATCAGAAGTCGATGTCCATGTCAGCCTCTGGGCACCCCAAGATGATGTTACCTCCAATAGACAGTGAAGGAGATAACTTCAAGGCTATGTAAGAACAATGCACATTCCTTGTGAAACTAATGTGTACCCACTGCTTCTTAATTTTGTGCTGTGGATTATAGTCCAAGATTTTGTTACAGTTGTCCACAAAGTGTCCTTCTTGTGTGTGGTTTCAGTTAAGCACATCCTGTCTCATGGTGTCCTTGGTCATCTGTGTGTGTCTTCATGCCTTATGCATACTACAAAGGGTGTAAGAAATTCCCCCTCCTCTCCAAGTTGCTTTCAGCATGTGGAATTTTATACTTAGACCTTTTGTGTGCTTCCAAAACTTTTTAGTTGCCTGTTCTTCAATTTCACCTGCATAGCCTTTTATTTCTTTTATATTTGCAAGGTTCTCTGCATGTAAGCAATTTGAGAGGGAAGCAAAGGAAACAGCTTGAGTTAGCCATTTTTTGTTCTAGAATTTCCCTGCGTTAATCTTGTCCTTGAAAATACGTATGTACTCTTTCCTTAAACTCCATGAGGCTTTGTTTCATTAGATACTATTCCTTTGGTACCCTTTCCCATTTAACTTACCTTTTGTTCCTAAGTCCTGTAAAATACCCCTTGGACCTGGATTTATTATAACTGCTTTTCTCCACTGTATATAAAAGATATATTGTGATTGTAAATCTTTGTGTGCCATGTTTGCCACAGAGCCAGGATTTTGTGAACAAAGATGTAAGAATTTATTACTTTCTGATCTCGTAGCACTATTCCTGATCAGAGAACTCCAGTTGCTTCAACACACAGTATTAGCAGTGCCACCACCCCAGATCGAATCCGCTTCCCAAGAGGCACTGCAAGTCGTAGCACTTTCCACGGCCAGCCCCGGGAGCGGCGAACTGCAACATATAATGGCCCGCCAGCCTCGCCCAGCCTGTCCCATGAAGCCACACCATTGTCACAGACTCGAAGCCGAGGCTCCACTAATCTTTTTAGTAAATTAACTTCAAAACTCACAAGGAGGTAAGTGCCAGGCGGCGCTGGTTGTTTGGAGCAAATGCAAGAGCAAAAAGAGAAATGTCTTCTCCTCTGTTGTGTGAAGCCACTGCCCAGATGCTGTGCATTTTGTCTTTAGCTCATCTGTTTCTGGTTTATTTATCTAATTTTGTACTTGAAAACCTCTTAGAATAGAAATTACAAAGTTCAAAGTCTTTTCACAACACTCAAAGTTCTGAAGCACTTGGGAGGTTGTTGTTCTTTAATTATTGTTCCTTTTGATTACACATCTCTCCACAAGGCATGTAAACTGCAGTTTAGCAAAACCCTAGATCCACTGTAGGCGGGGGCCTGGCGCTCTGTAAGCAGTCCCTGAAGAAGACATTATACAATGTAATCATCCCCAGACACAGAGGAGAGAGATATTTCCTCGTCTCTCATTTCATTTCATTGTCGTTGAGGAGCACTGAGTTTCTTAGAGTCTAAATCTTGAAGTTTCTCTCTGTTGGTCTCAGTAAATTATAGTGAAAACAAGGTAACTTTCTTAATTGCTGTAGTTTTGGAGACAAAGTGCCTGGTTTATTCTTAGAAAGAAACTAGTATCTGGTCATGTATAAAATCCTTCATGTGTCCAGCAGACTATCATTTTGGGCTTTGGGAAATCTCTAAGGGTTCCTGAGGTGCTTTAACTTTGTTTCCATAATCTAGTCTGGAGGTTGCAAAAGCCTAGAAACACTGACTGCTACAAGAGAAAAAAGAAAAGATACCACTTTGCACCCACCATAAGCAAATAGCCCAAGGCATCTTTAGCCAGGGCCACACCCAGGAAACCTGAGAACCCCTGCAGTTCCTGGACTCCCGGAGGAAATTCTTTGAAATTAAACCTCACTATAGATTAGTATGTGCAAGGTTTGTCTTCAGGTTTGTCTGTTACAGACCTTCTTCATCATCTTATCTTACTCACAGAACAAAGGTAGGGTCTTCTCAGAATCTAAAATGATTGATGCCCTCGTCTTTGTTTCTCTGCACTCCCTCTGGCCCATGAGCCTATACTGCTCTGTTTCATGCCATCTTTGTTATTTAACCTGCAAGCTAAGTACCACTTTTCAATCCCCTTATTTCCTCCAGTAGTTTTATTTTATTTTAGAGCAGTCATCTAAAACTTAGACGAGTCACATTTAACTGTCTTTCCTCAGATGATCTGTTTGTTGTCAGGGCATTGAATACCAGATTAGGGAGGACTTCTGATATTAGCATTGACTAGAGGTCACAGGAGTCAAAAGGTTCCAGTCTACCCTCTTATTCTCTTCTGAACCCCTTTGCTGAGACACCCCATTCCAGACTGGGCAGAAGAGCAGAATCGTCTATAAAGGGCCTTGCCAGGTTTGGGGCACCCATTCGTGACCAGCGAGAGAGAGAGTGAATTCAAGTCTGGTGACTTCCAGAAGAATTCATTCCTTCCTTTCAGAGTTATCCCATGGCCTATGCCAGGCTGCCCTGTCCCCCAGTTCCTTCCTCGGGGACTAGGCTGAAATGGAATCTGCTTCTGAAATTTGAGTGGTAGCAGATGGAGCCAGGTATCATTCACCTGGCTGATTACCTGCCTGACCCTGCTTAATATCAACTCATGTTTTGCCCTCTGAGCCCCAAGCACAACAGGGATGTCCAGTAGTCAGGTCTGTCTAAGCTTTAGTTAAAGGACAGTCAGTTTTGTGACTCTTTGGTCTATAACAGGCTCTTTAAATAAAACCTTGCACATCATTAAAATTCTTCAGTCTGTCTCCTTTGTGTGCATTTTTTTTTGTCATCTTAATATTATCGGTGATAAAAAATAATATCAGCTGCCATTTATTGAGTGCTTACTAGATGCTAAGTTAAATAGACATAGATGTATAGATATACTCGTTTTACATATATAAATATGTATGTGTGTATACACACACATTTTCTCTCACATACTCATTTAATCTCCACAGTCTACCCTGTGGAGAAGATATTATCCCAGTTTCATAGAAGAAATAGGTGAGGTTCAGAGAGATTAAGGCACATGTTCAAGATCCTACGGCAGAAATGTGCTGAGCCAGGTCTGTGGCTCCAGAAGAAGCCCTTGCAGCCGCTCCCTTGTGCTCCCTTGTGGAGAAAACCGTAAAGGACTGTTGCAGGCAGGAGCCCTTTTCCCGCATTTTTTAATTGTATGTATTCATCTATTTGAATTGAAATTGGAGACTGAAGTTTCCTATTAAAACAAAAATTCTAGGGAGTGCCCTTGTATTTGCTAGATAGGATGCTGCCTGAGTCATGAATTGCTTAATGAAACCAATTAGATCTTCAAAAGAAAACACAAAAACAAAAATTCTAGGGTATCATCTTATTTTATAATTTCCAGGCGATTTCCACCCCTAAATTTTTGCAGAAGGATAGTCTTTTGTTTGGTAAAGTTTGCAGACTGAGGTCTGTAGTCTCCCTTCAGTTGTAGACAGTTCATTCTTAAAAACAAAGTCCTTGCTGCTGTGTCAGCCTTCTTATCCTCCCCTGACGATAATTCCTAGGATTACAGTTCTAGTGTCTGAAAGTCTCAGGTGTTTACACTTAGGTGCTGCAAAGGAGAGTGACTGCCAGTGACTTGGTGGGAAGAGGTCTGGCCTCAGAAAACCCACACTGCTCCTAGCCCTGCCCTGGACATGTGTGGCTTGGAGAGCTTGGGCTCTGCGGTGCTTTGCAGTCAGAAGAAGCAAGGCTTTCCCTTTCTGGGGCCAGGCCTAGTCTGCTTGGGCACTCAGTGCCACCTGTACCCTGGAAGCAGAGCGGTCCTGGCATGGATGCAGGGACTCTGCACCCGAGATTCATCCGTGTGGCCCCAGGCACAGAGGGAGGGCCTCAGTCCTGCAGCTTCCTCTCCTTTATCCCTTAAGGGATTCATGGGAGGAAAAGTTAAGAAAGAGAGTCCTGTGGTACTTGACCAATAACCCTGACTTTTCTCAGGTTGAAAATTTGAAAACAAAAATACATTTTCAAGACCTTTTAGTCAATTTTCAACTAAAATAATCTTTTGAATAATACTGCTTTATATTTATGCAGTGCTTAATTATGTACAAAATATTTTCACTTATTATCTTCTCTACTGTGCATAACCCTGCTGTGTACCACTTTTGATCTGATTATGAAAGTGGCTGGCAGTTATCTACCGTAGTTAGATATTTTTTAAATTGCTCAGTATCTGGAGCAATGCCAGCGTTATCCCAAATTAGGGGGGAAAAATCCAAGGAATTCATTAATTCGGTCAGTCACTCAGCAAATACATGTGAGTGCCTGCTGGGTTCAGTTGCAGAACTGGGTTTTAGAAATGGTTTGATGGGCCCAGCCTGCACTTGCCTGGGAACGCTGATAGCATGATAATACAAGCCTGAGTCATAGTTGGAAATTTTTTTGTCAGATTCTGTTCAATACAACCTAAGCATCTTCTTAAATTTTCTTAATAAGCAGAGTTACTACTTTTAAATACAACTCTTCCAGTTTAATACATAAAACATAAAATGCAACCCCCTCTGTTACCTTGTCATTTAGTTTTCATTTTGATAGCTAAAACTCTGAAAAGCCTACTTCATTTTAAACCCTAAGAAGTTATTTTTTTTCCTCAAAAAGTGATTTTTATCATACCACTGTGACAGACATTCTGTTAATATTTAAATCATATTCCTAAAGTAATGATTCTCCTAATGGTTAAACGTTTTATAATGAAATTTTTAATGTTTTTTACAAAGATGAGATTTTTGTTCATAAGATAATTCTGAAGAAAATTGAGAAATGTTGTTACTAGTACATTGCAAATGACTTAAGTCATTTCTTTAACACAAGATGTCGAATTTTATTATCTTAAAGTATATCCATCTGAAGATCCTTAGTAAATTTGATTACAGCCAGTGGCAATATTTACTGCTGAATTTTTTCTTACGAGTACAGATTTTTTATATTTCTAATTAAAAGATCACATACTCTGGGCCAACCTGGTGGTATAGTGATTAAGTTCACGTGCTGCCTTTTCGCAGCCTGGGGTTTGTGGGTTCAGATCCCCAGCACAGACCTACGCGCCACTCATCAAGCCACGCTGTGGTGGCATCCCACATAAGAAAATAGAGGAATATTGGCACGGATGTTAGCTCAGGGTGAATCTTCATCCCCCCAAAATAAAAAGATCACATACTCAATTACCTGCAATAATTTTACTTTTTCAACAAATGTCACTGTTTTATTGTTCATTGGCTAGAAGAGGAGCCCTGTTTTATTTGTTGTTTTTCTTTTTCTCTGTAATTGACTAGATTTTCTCTTTAATTTATGTAAGTCATTTTTGTTAATTTTTTTTTTTGGCTTAATTTCTTTTAGAAACATGTCATTCAGGTTTATCAAAAGGTAGGATTTATGTATACACATTTTTTTTCAATCCTCACCCCAAAATGGCTCCTGCAATTAACATCAGGTTTGGCTTTCTAGCCCTGTTTTTTTCCTTTAAAACTAAACTTTCTGCTGAGAACTAAATACTTATTTCTTTGAGAGGAAACTGTGGGAAGAGATAAATTAACTGTCGGGCATTTTTAAAGGGACTGTGGCACCCCTGTAACAAGAGGCCTACGCATGCTCTGTGCATTTTCTTTCTTTGGTAGAATTATTTAGCATCCAAATAATTCTGTCTTTACTAATAACACTTAGCATGCTTCTGTTTGAAGAATGAGATGTTCAGTAACATTAATGTACAATTCATGATTAGCCTCAGGCATGCAAAAGGTAAGTGGTAATTGTGTTAGTCATCATTTTTTATTTCACAGAGGATTGAATTAGCAAAAGACTTTAAAATGACAGGGAAATTAGTTGATATTCTGATGCTTGAAACAAGCGTAAAATTCATGCTTACAGCCTCATTCGGTTTGGGTTTTTCTGAAATTAAGATGTGAACAGCTACATAGCAGAACTGTGTTAATATTTTCAGAGAGTTGAAAAGTAAATAATATTCTACCTAAAGCCACTTTCCACCAACCACTGGAGAAAGCATATCTCATTATTTTTACTTAAAGCACCGTAGTAAATGTTATTCCTACTAGATGAATACTTTTGGATGTTGGCAGTCAAGAGAACAAAAAAGTTGCTCACTGTCTTGGAATGCACACATATAAGGCAGACAATCTGCCATTGAGGCTGCATTGTGCCTGTGCCGCTCAACTCACTGTAAGGCCAGGCTACGGTTTTTTATGGTGATGAAACCAGTGGGTCACTGAAGGGCTTTGTTAACATGAGCTCTTTATCAAAAACTGTGGGAAGAGTGCTTTCTTCCTGTGGGAAATTCCACCCCGTGATTATTTTTTAATTGATCTTCCCAGTTGCCAAATTTTTCGTTGGACAGAAAATTTTATAATTGAATGTAGAATTCAACTGATAGAATTCATTTCCTTTTAATTGGAAACCCATTATACTTTGGGGAAGTGATTTAAAACGTCAAAATAACTTCATTCAAAGGCCATGAGTGTGCTCAGACTCCAGAGCTGGGCAGGGGTTCCTTTTGTGTGTGTGCAGCCAGACTCCTGCATGGCCTGCGTGGATACATGAAGAATAGTCGCTGGTTGAGTCACAGCTGTGAGAGTAGGAGTTTTAAAATAAGCTCATCTGGTGAACAAAAAGTGCTTTGTTCATTTTATGATGTTTGTGTTTGTATATGGGTGGTCATGTACTGGTATGTAAGATTTCTTTTCTCTTTCCCACTTGTCTGTGCTTCTACATTCTATTCGTTGAGGCTTCCAACTGAATATGAGAGGAACGGGAGATATGAGGGCTCAAGGTGAGGGAAATGATTTTTACTTAAAATATTTTATAGATATTTACCTCATTTCTGTTGCAGAGGCAACACTCTTTTCTGAATATTCTGCGTCATATTCCTGCTCTCAATGGAGGATTGCTTAGTTAGGTCAGCATTATGTGGTTCAAGAAGCGTATGTGTGTCCCTGCTGCTGCCTCCCTGGGGGCCTGGGCCCACACGCTATGCTGTGCCCTGGTGGCCACATGAGGGCGTCGGAGTCCCGCTACCACCCACTGGTGAAAGGCTTCCAGATTCCAGCCTCACCTGGCTTTACATTAGTATTTGGGTGTTAAAATACACGTCTCTCCTACCTAGGCACTGACAACCTGAAATACGAGGTCTGGGAGTCTGTAGGAGCACTCTGGACGTGTCAGTGACTCTTAGCATGGTTCTAGTCTCAAGGAATGAAAACAGAATATTAAGTATAATTTTCGTATTTCAAATTAGTTTGGTTTTTTTTTAAGAATGATTATGTAGGGGCTGGCCTGGTGGCATAGTGGTTAAGTTGGGTGTGCTCCACTTCAGCATCCCAGGTTCGGATCCCAGGCATGGACGTACACCACTCATCAAGCCATGCTGTGGAGGTGTCCCACATACAATATAGAGGAAGACGAGCACAGATGTTGGCTCAGGGTCGCTCTTCCTCAAGCGAAAAAGGAAGATTGGCAACAGGTGTTAGCTTAGGGTCAGTCTTCCTCACCAAGAAAAGAAAGAAAAGAAAAGAAAAAAAGAGAACAATTATGTAGCCAAGTGTTTGTGGGGGTTTTTTGAGGAAGATTAGCCCTGAGCTAACATCTGTGCCCATCTTCCTCTACTTTATATGAGGGACACCTGCCACAGCATGGCTTGCCAAGCAGTGCCATGTCCACACCCAGGATCCAAACAGGCAAACCCCGGGCCACCAAAGCGGAACATGCAAACTTAACCGCTGTGCCACCGGGCTGGCCCCAAGTGTTTTGCTTTCAAATTTTGTATAGCTGTCACTGGGATTTGGGGGTAGGGGCAATCACCACATAAGCTCAGGACGCTGTCATATTTCCTGATCTCTTCCACTTGTGTCCTTTTTTATACCAGTCACCACCATGCTGTTTCAGGTCGTTGGTAACTTATTTGCTCTCTTCCTGGTCTTTCTAAAGCACAACTCTGATCATACGACTTTTCTGAATGAAAACCTGCAGTGGCCCCAGTGCCTGACTGACTATGTCCATGCAAGGCCCTGTGTGGCCTCAGAAGCCCCAGCTCCCTGCCCCACCCCCCAAGTTGAGACAGAGCGTTGGGGTGAGAGGAGCCAGGCAGCATTCCCACCCCTGGGCCTGACCATCCCAGCCTTGAGCAGGTTCTAGCTGTCCTGAATTTGTTCCCCATCCATGATAGGACCGAGCTCCTGCTGTGATGAGGATCAGGTACAGTGGGCCTGCCCATGCAAGTGCTCAATAAAGGCCAGCAGCTGTTGTGGGGTGACACTTTGACCCCGGTTCCAGTCTGTCTGTGCATTTTATTATGCCCTAAACACTTTCTGTGCTTTATATACCTCCTTGCCTTTGCTTATGATGTTCCCTCAACACACAGAAACTCTTCCCCAACCTCTGTCATGTTGTTGAAATCCCACAGGCTCTTCAGAGCTCTTCTCAGATGCCCTCGTCCCTCATGATCCCACCCTGCCTTTCACTTGCACTTCTATTAGCCAGGCCCCACCTCCATCTGTGCCCCTCTAGCAGGCTGCCATATCTTTCCTGTCCTACTGCTGTTTGCTTAGGTTACAATCTTCCCTTCCCCCACTCCAACTTAGTTTGAGAACTTTTGCTAATTTTCGTAACTTAGCAACTAACAGCATTTTATACATAGGAAGCTTCCAGTCAGTTTTGGTGGATGTAAACCAAATTGAATATTTTCCTAGCAGGTTGGCAACAGGGAGAGCTATGTGCATAGTAAAACCTATGACCCACCTTCAGCTCTGATGAATTTGCCGTAGGATTAAGTATATTTAACATACCTATACTGGGTGTTTTTAGTGCACAAGAATGTTAGGCATTCATCATCCTAGTTAAAGCACCCAGATGCACACATGAGAATGTAAATAACAGTTTGCGGCAATAATGATGAAATGCCTTGGAACAGTAAGATAGTAGATGCCTGTTCTTGGAGTTTCTGAGAGAGCTGTGCCTGGACCCCACTGTGAAACCACTTCGTGGATATTGGGACCACAGCTTGCATTTTGTGAATCCATACAGTTTGCATTCAAACTGGTGGTTTCAGTGCTCAGTAGCAAATAAGCCTTAACATTTCATTTTTCTATTTCAATAGTAAGATAAGGTCATCTAAGAATTCCTTTTAACTGTGAAATTAGAAGTTTAAATTAGGGGACCCCGGTGGTGCAGTGGTTAAGTGCGCACGTTCCACTTTGGTGGCCCGGGGTTCACCAGTTCGGATCCCTGGTGCGGACACGGTACCACTTGGCAAGCCATGCTGTGGTAGTGTCCCACATATAAAGTAGAGGAAGATGGGCACAGATGTTAGCTCAGGGCCAGGCTTCCTCAGCAAAAAGAGGAGAATTGGCGGCAGATGTTAACTCAGGGCTAATCTTCCTCCCAAAAAAAAAGTTTAACAAAATACAAGGAAAAATATCGATGTGGGTGGAGGGGACTGAGAGAATGGCCCACCCTCCACCCAGTTGTGCACACAGCATCTGGGGCCATTTGCAGAGAAAGCGATTTTGAACTGTGTTGAGCCACTGGTTATCCAGAGTTAAAAGTTACAGTGGAGGTTATCATAATTGAATTAAAAAGAAAAACTGTGGTAGAGGGGAAGCAGCCAGGCCGAGCAGGATCAGAGGCTAGCCTGCTGACCCCTCCCTGCTGAGCTGGGTCTGTGAGGGCCCTGACACCTTCTACTGCCTGCATTCAGCCTGGGAGGGAGAGTTGGGCTCTTGGAGATATGATCAGCTCTCTACTTTGCCTGATTTCCAAGGATTCTGTTTAACAAATTATTTTCTTAATTTTCATAAGTACAGATGGCTGGTGAAGATTCTCAGCCAAATAGATTTTTTGCATGTGTGGCTTAAGATTTTGGAGAGTGGGAGAGATAATAGGTGAATACTTCTTAGTAGAGGAACAGGTTACCACATGTGAGCCTGTGCAGGAAAAATGTGGAGATCAGCTATTATGCTATTTTAAAGATGTTGATTATGAGCTAGCTAAAGTAGAAAAGATTGGTTTTCCTGTGCAGTTAAAAATAAACCTGCCACTGTGCATTTCAGTCGCAACGTATCTGCTGAGCAAAAGGACGAAAACAAAGAAGCAAAACCTCGTTCCCTGCGCTTTACCTGGAGCATGAAAACCACTAGTTCCATGGATCCCAATGACATGATGCGGGAAATCCGCAAAGTGCTGGACGCCAATAACTGCGACTATGAGCAGAGAGAGCGCTTCTTGCTCTTCTGTGTCCATGGCGATGGGCACGCAGAGAACCTCGTGCAGTGGGAGATGGAGGTGTGCAAGCTGCCAAGACTGTCTCTGAATGGGGTCCGGTTTAAGCGGATATCAGGGACATCCATAGCTTTCAAAAATATTGCTTCCAAAATTGCCAATGAGCTAAAGCTGTAACCCAGTAATTATGGTGTAAATTAAGTAGCAATTTAAAAAGTGTTTTCCAGAACACTGATGGAAATGTATAGAATAATATTTAGGCAATAACGTCTGCATCTTCTAAATCATGATATTAAAATATAAGGATGAGAGCACGCCTGGGAGCGAAAGCTGGCCTTTTTTCTACCAATGCACTACATTAAAGATGTGTGACACGTGTGCCCTCTGTCTTATTTCCACTGCCCTGAAAGTCAGCGTGTGACATCCATCTCCATGTGCCTCCTGTCTGTGTGGGTGTGAAAGTCGACTGTGTGTGTATGAAGTAGTGCATACGGAAGCATCTCCTGACACTGGCAGCCAGAATTGTTACAAGTACCTCTGCGGGAGATCATTTGGTGCTAAAACATTAAAATTGCCAAGAAGGAAAATAATGAATTACTACTAAGAATTAACCTTAAGACTAGTTGATAATACAGGTTTACAGTTCATGCCTGTGGTTTTGTGTTTGTTGTTTTGTGTTTTTTTTTAGTGCAAAAGGTTTAAATTTATAGTTGTGAACATTGCTTGTGTGTGTTTTTCTAAGTAGATGCACAAGATAATTAAATTCACTTTTTCTCAGTAAAATCTTGCATTGTCTCCTAATACTATATTTAAGACTCAGATTAAGGCAGTGACTAAAAGTATGTCTCTTTGCCTCCACCATCAAGTTGAACAAAAGCAATTGGAAAATGTATAAAGGCTTGGGGCCGCTGTGTCCTTAGTGTGGGTCCTGGCATTTTGTGATTACTAGCATCTTTCTTCCCCAAAGGCAATAAAGGGAGAAGACGGTGACCTGAGAAGGAAGGGAATCGGGAGTGGCTGGCAGCCTGAGCCTCAGGAGCCCCTGCGCACCCCTGTGTGGAGAAACGCCAGGTCTTGACAGTTCTGGGTTTATTCTCCATTAAGTATGTAATTTTCCTCTCCTTTCTTTTTTTGTGATTCAGTACATGAATCAGACCTCCAGCTTTTTTCCAACACCTACATGGTTATATAGAGGGGGTAATGAACTCTGTCAGTCAGCTTGACACTTTAATCTCATGGGGAAGTTGTCACTTGATTGGTGTGCTGTTTGGGTTCTAGGTTTGTTAGTAGTGGTCAGAGTATGAAAGGCTGGACAGATAGTCAAGCAGTCACAGATCCTTGTTGTCTACCAGGCCGGGCACTGTTCTAGGTGTTTGGGACACATCAGTGAACCAAACAGAGATCCTTAGCCTGATCACGGTGGCAGTCAGTAAACACTAATAAGTATCTAGTATGGAACAAAGGTAGTAAATGCCATGAGAAAGTCACAGAGTGGGGTAAGGCATTGCAGAGGTCCTGGGGCCAGTAGTGATGGGTGGGGACAGGGTGCTTAAGCAGAGACTTGACTTCAAGGGACACATCCACACAGATCTCCGGGAAGAGTGGCCGGCAGAGGCCTGAGGCCAGAGCACACCAGCGTGCTGGAGCAGAGTTGTGGGTGATGCGGTCAGAAGGCCCACTGGGTCTTGAAGACTATTGCAAATGCAAGTCTTTTACTCTGAAATGGGAGCTAAGGGTGGTGGGGTGGGGCGGGAGGAGGGGGGTTGAACAAAGGAGTAGTATGGCCTCAGGTTTTCACAGAATTGCTGTAGCAGCTGTGTTGCAAATCATCATAGGAAGAAAGGAGAAACCAGGAAACAGGAAAGCCGTTGGGCGGCTGTTGACAATAGTTAGGCAAGAGATGGTGCTGGCCCAGTGAGATGGTGATTGGATTCTAGAAGTTTTGAAACAAGAGTCAACTGCCCTTGCTCTTGGATTGGATATGGTGAATGAGAAAAAGCCAAGGATGACTGTGCGATTTTGGCCTGAGCCACAGAAAGGATAGGGTTGCTGCCAGTTGAAATGGAGCAGGATGTGTGAGCAGGTTTGGACGTGTTGAGTTTGAGGTGCCTTTAGACACCAGGTGGAGACTGGAGAGAGACCCTGGGAGCCCTCCACAGGTGAATGGTTCCTATTTAAAACTGGGGGAGAAGCTCACCAGAGAAGAGGAGAGGACCAGCCCTGAGCCCCGAACACGAAGTGGTGAGGCCAGGGAGAAGAGGCGGAGCAGGCAAAGGAGCACTGAGGTAGGAGGAGCGGCAGGCCTGGGAGCAGGGAGGATGGCGGCGCAAATGCCCTTTAACACAAAAGTACAGAGCATCATTTTAAGCTCCCTGGAACTTTCAAATCTCTATTAAAATAACAGTAAGTCCTCTCTCCCTCCTTTTTTCATTTGAGGCATCCTACTTCCTTTTCCAGACCCGGTTCCTTTCAGCCTGCACTTCTGTAACAGCTCAGTGTGCATGGGTTCCTGTGCGTCATCACCCTGCAGAAGTGTGCAGAGATGAAGGGAGCTCTGCCAAGTAAAGGTGTGGCTACGGCCTGGTTCCTTCTTATCTTTATGCCTAGGACACGTTTTAAATTGTTTTTCACATCCATCTTCTCAAGGACAAATTGAATACTAGAAGTTAAACTCCTTTAAGAGAAATTAGTGTACCACATACCCTGATGAAATAGCTAGTCCTTAGCAGACACAAATGTTCGTAGTACTTTCAGTTGCTTATTTGTCATAAGCAGTGTGTGCATTTTAATACATTACTGATCCAGTGAGAAATGACTGTGTCTGTAAGACCACTGTTCACCCACAGAAGTCATTTAAGTTGGTCATATTTAAAAGGCTCTGTTAGTAATTGACATTGACTTGATTTTACCAGCAACATAAGTAGTGTTACTGAGTTTTACTGAGGTTAAAACATGAAATCTCATCCATTACTAAGGGACCCATGCCCTTCGTTTAGATGCTGCATTTTCAGGATGTGACATTTTTATTCTGCATACAGTGAATTTGGAAAAGGGATGTTTTCGAGTACTTGAAAATCACTTGAGATGCAAAGACAAGGCCACATTTTTTCCTCCTTCACTCCCCTGGAATCCCTCTGAGGTGAGGTAAGGTACCTGCTGGGGGCGGTGCTGCTGGTCTTATTTACCCAACAACCAGAGTGTTGTCCTACTCCTGAAAATAAAGTTGATGTTCCAGTTATGCTGGCTTTTCCTCTCCTCTGGATCAGCAAATCACAGGAACCAAGACAATGTTCCTTAATGACATACCTGGCTCTCAGGTCCTCCTTTCATTTCTAAAAATGAAGATTCATGCAGAAAACTGTTCAGAAACATGACTGACTTTCAGAAGCAGAGTGGATACTTCAAGGATGCCTAAGTGAACTTGTAAAAAAGTACTCTGCCAGGAAGTGAGCCCCCGGCTATAGAGCAGGTGCTGAGGCTCTGCCCACTAGTTACTGAAGCAGAGTCTGGGTGGCCATGAAGGCTGGTGGTCCAGTGGGTTTCATTCTGAAACAGGACTTCTTAGATTCACTTCACCCAGATGTCAGAGCCCTGCCTGTTTAGAAGTGATTTAGGCAGTGCAGCCTAGTGGTTGAAGTGTACGCCCTTGACCTAGGCAGCCTGGTTTCCATATTCCAGCTTCATGACCTTGGGTTTCCTCCTCTAGCAAGTCAGCATGTTAGTAGTAATATCTCACTCTGGGTTGTTGGCAGAGTCCACCAGACAACAAGTGCAGCAGGGCGCCTGGCAAATGTTAGCAAATAGGGCAGCTCAAACAGGCTCAGGTCTTTTTAAACAAAAACATAAGCTAACCCTCTCCTCTTCCTCCCCACCAAGCTTACCCAGGGCATGGAAGTCCTTGAACAGTGGACTCTCTGGCTCTCAGGAGAGGACACTGCCCTTGCAGCAGAGACTTGATAGAGAAATTTTAATTTCTAGGGACCGGCCCCATGGCCGAGTGGTTGGGTTCGTGTGCTCCGCTTCGGAGGCCCAGGGTTTCACCGTTTTGAATCCTGGGCTCGGATGTGGCACCGCTCATCAGGCCATGCTGAGGCAGTGTCCCGCATTCCACAACCGGAAGGACCCACAACTAAAAATACACAACCATGTACTGGGGGGGGGGTTGGGAGAAAAAGGAAAAGTGAAATCTTTTAAAAGAAAAAAAAAAAGGAAATTGCAATTTCTAAAGTATAGAGTTCTGGTCTCTAAGCCTGCTGTTAGAAAAGTTCCTGGCCTCAAGCCTTTGCTGGTGTTCCAAGAGGACAAGGAAGATGAGTGAGCCTGGGGTAAGGGCGCAGACAGAAGGAGGCTGATGGTGCCCTGCCCTCCTCTAAGCTTTTGCTCATGTCTCCTCCTCAAAGAGGCCTACCCTGGCCATCACATTTAAAATTGCACCCAGGTCTCCCAGGCCTGTTTGCCTAACTCTGCCCTCTCACTGTCTGCTGTTCTTAACACACCAACAGTCAAGATCATTTACAAATTTATTTTGTCTCTTGTGTCTACCCTCCCTGCCCTTACTAGAGTATAGCAAACCACATGGGGCAAGGATCTTCATCTTTTTTTCTTCCTGTATCCCAAGTACCTAGAATAGTGCCTGGTACACAGTACAAAATAAATATTTGTTTGATGATGATGATGAAGAAGCACAGGCAAGAGATACCTAGAAAGCACAAGGCAGCTTTAGTGGCTTCAGTCAAAACTGTTACTGAGGTTTGTGCACAGCTGCCCTGACCCCAGATGGCCAAGGATGAGACAGGCAGTGGCTGTGGGAAGCTGTATTTTGGTTTGTGGCCCATCCTACTTGGTCTCCAGCATCCCTCGGAGCCCTTCCTGTTTTATAGACAAGGCTCAGAGGTGGGATGAGAATGGAGCCCACAGTTCCCGGGTTTGGCCAATGTGCTTTTTTCTTCACCGAGCTGCCTGTAATGCTGATGCCCATATTGTGTCATTCAGCTCTAGTCAGACACAGACCACTCAAGTCCCCAGGTGAGTCATACAGGAGTATGGTCATACAGGAGTAGGTCCTGCATCACATGACATTTGCTGTCAGGTGTGAAACTGGGAGTTGAAACACTTGGCTTAACACCTTAATCTGTGTCCCACACAACAGAGTCACGTGGTCAGTGTATCATTTAGATTTCAGTCTGTTAAAAGAGTAGCAACCTGAGGCTTGGCAGCTGTGTATAAGCTGGTGTTTAATCAGGAGATCAGAAAGTTCTCTAGGTATTGACAGTAGCCTTCACCTCTGACTGCTCTGTCACTGGCGTCAAGCCGAAAGTGAGATGTGGTGAGCGGAAGTCCTGGTTCGTTGTGCCCACACGTGCCTCCCACCTGTGATAGGGAAGCTGGTTCTCGGGTTCACCTAGGGCCGAAGACTAGACCACCACTTGCTAAGACGACCTGGATCTGCAAAGGTGAAGGCTGGGGAAACTGGAGGCTGCATTGGGCACTTACGTTGCCCTTGGCTTTGTTTTGTTGGTTTCTTTTGGTATTTGTTGTTTGTGTAGTGGGGCTGATCTGTTACAAATTCTGAGGTTCTCACATCTTTTCCAGCTCCCTGGATATTCATTCCTATGGTTTCCAGCTGTGCTGAAATACCTTCGTACCAAATGGGTTGATAAATAGGAGCCTTTGTGGAGGTTCACTGAGAAAAGAGACAACTGATCATGCTGCAGCTTTCCCCACCAGGCTGTGCCTTTTGCAGTTTCCTGCTCTCTTTCTACATCCCACCCACCTAACCCACC